AATTTTCTTTTTTAATATTCGAAATCTGAAATGAGAATAAAATGCTCCGCTGGGCGCAGCTTGATACGACCGCAGAGGTCGAACCCTGAACAGTTGGGGCAAGTATGGACACAACATTCAAGCTTGATACAGCACTATATTTGGATTGTGATTAAATATTTGACACAGCATAGGTTTCTGACACAGAATGAATGTGGTCTAAGAACTTAAAAAAATTTAATTTACCTATTCAAACCATATCATTATTATTTGCTTTTATATATAAATCAGAAATAACAAATTTAAAATGGAAAATTTTAAAGAAAAAAAAGGAACCCCCTTATGATTCATCACCACCAAACTCAATCCCAGCCTTCCCTTTGTGGTATGATACCTTGAAGTACAATTTCAGAGAGATCCATACGCTTGAACACAAGTCATTGTCTGGAAACTAGAAAAATGTTTGTTTTTAGTGCCCCTTTTTGGCCCAAATTCCTAAACGTTTAGGGCAATTACCCCCAAACTCCAACCCAGCTTTCCCTTTGTGATATGGAACCTTGTAGTACAATTTCATAAAGATCCATACACTTACAGACAAGTTATTGTCCTGTAACTAGAAAAATGCTTGTTTTTTTCCCCTTTTTTGCCCCTAATTCCTAAAATTTTAAGGCAATTACCCCCAAAATCAATCCTAGCCTTCCCTTTGTGGTATGGTACCTTGAAGAACAATTTCAGAGAGATCCATACACTTGAACACAAGTTATTGTCTGGAAACTAGAAAAATGCTTATTTTTGCCCCTTATTCCTAAAGGTTATGGGCAATTACCCCCAAACTCAATTCCAGCTTTCCCTTTGTGATATGGAACCTTGTAGTACAATTTCATAAAGATCCATACACTAACACACAAGTTATTGTCACGAAACTAGAAAAATGCTTGTTTTTTGCCCTTTTTTTGGCCCCCGATTCCTAAAATTTTGAGGCAATTACCCCCAAAATCAATCCCAGCATTCCCTTTGTGATATGGAACCTTGTGGTACAATGTCAGAGAGATCCATACACTAACACACAAGTTATGTCAGGAAGTTACAAAAATGCTTATTTTTGGCCCCTAATTCCTTAACTGTTGGTACCATAACCCCCAAGATCAATCCCAACCTTCCTTTTGTGGTATTGAACCTTATGGTAAAATTTCATAGAGATCCATTCACTTAAACTAAAGTTAGAGTGCGAAAACTAATGTGTCTTCGGACGACGATGACGACGACGCCAACGTCATACCAATATACGACCACAAAATTTTTTTTGCAGTAGTATAAAAATTGCCCCCCCCCCCCCACAATTTGTTTTTTACCCCCCTTCCCCTTTTTTCCCCCAAACAAATTCTTTCCCTCAAGATATGGTCATAATTTCAATTCAAATTTCCAATGGAGTTTGCAACCATAATTACCAATTAAATACATCATAAAAGTCTTAAAATAGAAAATGACATACATAATCATGGCTAAAATTAATATTCCTTTAATAGTAACTTCTAACTAGAGCCTCTAAAGAGCCTGTGTCGCTCACCTTGGTCTATGTGCATATTAAACAAAGGACACAGATGGATTCATGACAAAATTGTTTTTTGGTGATGGTGATGTGTTTGTAGATCTTACTTTACTGAGCATTCTTGCTGCTTACAATTATCTCTATCCATAATGAACTTGGCCCAGTAGTTACAGTGGAAAATATTTTGTAAAAATTTACAAAAATTTACAAAATTTATGAAAATTGTAAAAAATTGACTATAAAGGGCAATAACTCCTTAAGGGGTCAATTGACAATTTTGGTCATGTTGACTTATTGGTAGATCTTACTTTGCTGTACATTATTGCTGTTTACAGTTTATCTCTATCTATAATAATATTCAAGATAATAACCAAAAGCTGCAAAATTTTCTTAAAATTACCAATTCAGCAACGTGTTGCCTGATTGGTCTGAAAATTTCAGGGCCGATAGATCTTGACCTAATGAACAATTTTATCCTGTCAGATTTGCTCTTAATGCTTTGGTTTCAGAGATATGAGCCAAAAACTGCATTTTACCCTATGTACTATTTTTTTAGCCATGTCGGCCATCTTGGTTCGCGGGCGGGGTCATCGGACACATTTTTTAAACTAGATACCCTAATGATGATTGAGGACAAGTTTGGTTAAATTTGTCTAGTAGTTTCAGAGGAGAAGATTTTTGTAAAACATTACAAAAATTTACGAAAAATGGTTAAAAATTGACTATAAAGGGCAATAACTCCTTAAGGGGTCAACTGACAATTTTGGTCAAGTTGACTTATTTGTAGATCTTACTTTGCTGAACATTATTGCTGTTTACAGTTTATCTCTATCTATAATAATATTCAAGATAATAACCAATAAACTGCTTCGCTGAGCGCAGCTGGATACGCCCGCAGAGGTTCAACCCTGAACAGTTGGGGCAAAAATGGACACAATATTCAAACTTGATACAGGTCTGAATTTGGATTGTATTAAATATTTGACATATAATAGGTTTCTGAATAAATGTAGTCAAAGAACTTGAAATTGGTTATATGAATTGAATTTATATTCAATTAAAGATTTCTTGCTGTTGTGCAATACACTGTGCTGTTGCGCAATAATGAGTAAATCTGTTGTCAGACTATAAACAATTAAATTTCAATTAATTCTCAATGTCATATTAGAAATTTATGAAAATGTAAAGGGAGCTTACATCAATAGATATAAACAATTCACCAAAGTTTCATGAGAATTGCTTACAGCATTTTTGAGTTATTGTTCGAAAACTGGAAAATCCCCCCTTTTTTAATGAATAAAACCCCACAACTCAGAATTGTAAAATGTAAAATTTATAAAATCGAAACAGAGCTTACATCAATAGATATAAACAATTCACCAAAGTTTCATAAGAACTGCTGAAAGCATTTTTGATTTTTTGTCTGAAAACTGGAAAATCCCCCTTTTTTTATGAATAAAACCCTGTAACTCGGAAACGTAAAATCTAAAATACATAAAAATCGAAAGGGAGCTCATGTCAATAGATATAAACAACTCACCACAATTTCTTGCAAGTTGGTGAAAGCATTCATGAGTTATTGTCCGAAAACTGGAAAATCCCCCTTTTTTTAATGAATAAAACCCCATAACTCGGAAACGTCAAATCTAAAATTTATAAAAAACAAAAGGGAGCTCACGTCAATAGATATAAACTATTCACCAAAGTTTTATGCAAATTGGTTTAAGTGTTTTTGTGTTAATGTCTGACATGTTGACGACAGATGGACAGAGGTATACCATAATACGTCCCGTAAACGGGCGTATAAAAACGACAAAATTTCCTTAAAATTACCAATTCAGGGGGCAGCAACCCAACAACGGGTTGTCCGATTCATCTGAAAATTTCAGGGCAGATAGATTTTGACCTGATAAACAATTTTACCCCATGTCAGATTTGCTCTAAATGCTTTAGTTTCAGAGATATAAGCCAAAATCTACATTTTACCCCTATGTTCTATTTTTAGCCATGGCAGCCATCTTGGTTGGTTGGCCGGGTCAACAGACACATTTTTTAAACTAGATACCCTAATAATGATTGTGGCCAAGTTTGGGCAAAATTGGCCCAGTAGTTTCAGAGGAGAAGATTTTTGTAAAAGTTTATGGACGACGGACGCCAAGTGATGAGAAAAGCTCACTTGGCCCTTTGGGCCAGGTGTGCTAAAAATAAATTAACAGCTAATCACTTCAAGACAATACAACATTTCTTTTTACTTAATTTAAAAGCAGTGTAAGGGAGGTCATCCAAACATACACAACACTGTACTTTAAATGTGTTTGGATTACCTCCCTTACACTGCTTTTAAATTGTCCATTAACCAGGAAACCCTTGTATTTCCCCCTTTTTTGCCCCTAATTCCTATAAGGTTTGAGCCATAACCCTCCAAAGTCATTCCTAACCATCCCTTTGTGGTATGGAAACTTGTGGTATAATTTCAGAGAGATTCATACACCATTCCACAAGTTATTGTCTGGTAACTAGAAAAATGCTTATTTGGGCCCTTTTTTGGCCCCTAATTCCTAGACTGTTAGGACCATAACCCCTAAAATCAATCTCAACCTTCCTTTTGTGGTTATAAACCTTGTGTTTAAATTTCATAGATTTCTATTTACTTATACTAAAGTTATTGTCCGGAAACCAAATGTCTTCGGACGACGACGACGACGTAATACCAATATGCAACTGCAAAAGTTTTTGCGGTCGTATAAAAAAACAATGGTGCAAAATGACAATATATGATTAAGATTTAGAGAAATTGTCAATAAATTCTAATAAGGGATTGATTGATAGCAGATACAAAATAGATACCTCCATCAGCAATAGCAAAGTTCATGATTTGCTAAGGGAAAACCCAAATCTAATCAAATTAATTTGGATAAGAAAAAAAAAGGAGGTGCACAAAGACATTATAAGTAAAAAATTTTGAGAAAGTATAATTAAATTCTGACCAGGGGTTAGGAGAAGCTGATACTAATATGTACTGTAGTGTACTGACAAGACTTAGTCCATGGCATGCCAAAGTAAACCCCCAAAAAATCATTTAGATGAAGAAATGTATTAGGTGTAAAGGTCCAGTTTTACAAAATTCTGCCAACAAGTTTTTGAGCAGTAATGGATACAAAAGTGGGATGAACAGATGAACAGATGAGTGAATGGAGAGAGTTTTAAAAAGCCCACCTTGGAACAACACATCAAGAAGCAAACTGTGATTTGTTATTTGTTCATTTGCTGTCACTGTAAAAACACACAAATGCGTTCAAAAAATTCCATATAACATACATTTAGGGCAAACAGCTATGTTTGTTTTCATAATACAGTGTATTGGCATTTTACCTTTATATCTATTTAACACGGGAAGGTCAAGTTGGTGGGTTGACAGATATATTGGTGATAATATTGACATTATACTTTTATAAAATAACAAACAAAATAATTTACATAATGTTTAATTCTGAAAGACTATATTTAGACAATAAACTATGATTTGAAGCTCATAAGTAAATTCATTACCATTATAATATTAGTCTAGTACAAAAATGATTGTATTATTAGTATATGAAACTGATTAATTTCTCCCAAATCCATGATAACATATTCAAACAACTAAGGACTTTTCAAATTTTCACACTATTACAGCATCAAAAAGGAATATGTGTCCATAGGACAACATGCGTAAGTAACATTTCCTCAATTTCATGTTCAGCAAACTGCGTCAAAAGACTCAAAACCCTAATTTGGAATTTTTGTTTGTTAAAGTTCACATCATAATGAACTTTTCAATTAAGTTTAAAATTGATCTGACCGTAACTTCATAGTAAACTTCATTGACCAAAACCTTTAACCTGATATTGGCTGGATAATCAGACAAAGGGATACACAGAGCAGAAAACATAAACATACCTGCAATACAAATTCTACCTTTTAAGTCACTAACCTAGAAAATTTTTAATGTCTAATCTTGAAATAAAATTTTCTAAGAACTATATTTTTATTATCAATTGAAAAAGCTTTTGTTCTTGTTCTCAAGTTTTTGATATAACTCTAGTATCAGCCATTGTACCTCTAGAAATAATCCTGAACAGCATCATGAACACAGGAGAAAAACATGATTTTGTGTAATATTCACAAAAAAATTTGTACATAACTTTAAAAATAAAATAAAATAAAATAAATATTGACTGTAACTTTAGATATTATTACATTGTTTTTATTAATGCGACAATTGTAACTGTTTGAACAAAGCAATAAATAAAGCTTGCATATTAATTTTTCTTCTTCCAACATGCCCAAGAATGGTATTACATTGTCTCCCATCATTTTTCATTATCAAAGATTCACAAAAAGTACTGCATTCATTTAAGTCTGAATTTGACAGAAGTTATGTTTCACGCTGTAAATAAATACACCTTTCAAGCACAATATAATGATAGAATGTTACAGTTTTGAATGATTATTTCTTTTTCCTATTAAAAGTTTCACAATTTTACAATATCAAAACAAATTGAAAACATGCATTTTTACTTCAGAGCGTAAATATTTACCAGAATTAAATATTCAGTGCAATATAAAATACAGTCTAGCATTAAATCATGCTTTATTCGTGCAAGTAAACATAGATTTTCAGGAAAGTACAAACATTTTACTGCAATTTTTTTCAGTATCCACTGACAACAAAAGAGTTGGTTATGTCAATGTTGAATAGAAGCTATGTTAACATATCATGATGCTATATCATTTTTTAATTCACTTTTTACAATAACTGTAACATTCTTCAAGTTAAGTTCCCAATTAAAATGTCTACCTCTTACCAAAAATAAAGTAGTGACTTTCAGCTCTGATAATGGTTATTCCATGAAAATTAATGATAATCAGAATGGTTAGATTGTATCTTCAGATGTTTCGAGGATATACTTACTTTTTGGCAAAATATTCAAAGCTGACAAAAAATAACTGATAATCATCATTCTAGCCATTAATATTGAAGGCCTTATTCCTTTTCTAAATCTCGACTTTGTCACTGAATCAACAAATTACACTTTATTGAATAGGAGCATACCGTTTAGTTGTTGTAAAAGTTATCAGCATCACAGAAATAAATGGTAAACAATGTGAAAGACTATAAATGACAGTGGTATACAATATCATTCACACATTGGAGACAAAAACATCCAAAATTTACAGTTGATATAATCTTGAAAGATTATTTATTCAAACTAAAGCTTCTGACAAAGCACAATAGAAAACCATATAAAAAAGTTTTGTGATCTTTGTCGTTGTAAACAACACATATTTAAGTACAATCTGAATAAAGTAGGATCACAAAACTGACATTGTTCATAAGGCAAAAATGACAACAGAAACAATTCTCTTCTACCTGAGGTCTTATTGGCAAAAACAAAACAACAGGTAAATCAATAGTATGTGAATTGATGTTCATGGTAACAAGTATGTGTTGTTGGGACTTCTTAAAAGTTTGATTTGAAATTTTTTGTAATGTTTTGAAAAAGCCAAGTTCATAGAAATATTAGTAAACAGATACTTTTAGAAAAGAACACTGACAAACCTTGAAAAAACAGTAAAATGTCCTGTACTTTTATTTCATAAATGGCTGACTGTTAAGGAATAACAGTTCAGTGTTTTATAAGTTCCCATTACCAAATCTCTAATTGGCAACTCTATAAACACCGGGCTGTTATTCCTAGTAAAACATTTGAATTAATTTAAAAATGTGGACTTTCATGAGCAACACTGAGGCCAATAACTCTGACCTTCAACTGTGAAATTTTATTTGCATTTCATATTGCATTAGAATAAATTAAAGTACTGTTATGAAGTTATCTACATACACATTTGTCCACAGGGGACAACTGAAAAGCAATAATATCTCAGATCAGTATAATGTACATCATATACATTTATTATAAAAATAATCTTAGTTTGGCAAGGACAGTTATTGTTGTTAAACTGGACTGGCCAAAAAGGGACATAGGAAAAACCATTTCTAATTAACTATCAGTAAATATCACAGCTCTTTAATCTTGTTCTGTTTTGTTGTAAGGAGGTAGATCTGGCATAGAAAAATTTGCTCCTGAAACATTAAACAAAATGATTTTATTGATATATATCTATCTAATACTGTATATTAAGATCTACAACTTGTAAATTCACAGTGCAATGTTGGTTATTAGTCATCATTGAGTTAGTCGTTAGAATAATGTATAGTGAGTTAAATTTGCGGGTGTAAAATTTCGCAATTTAGGGTCAACAAAGTATACGGAAAATTTTGGCGGTTTTTATTGTGGTGGATTCTTAAATCCCAATTAAATATTTTTGCCGATACTCAAATAATTGAAGTTAAAATATTGTAAAAATTGACAAACAAGTTTCTATTGTTATGGTTAATTGATATTTATTTTACCTGAATGACATATTATTTATTGATCATATTCTGATACAGTTAATAAATAGAATATCAGTAAATTAGATATTTGTCACAGGTATACAAACTTCTTGTAAATTTTACGGTTGATTAGTAATCAAATTGACCGGACCTTTGATGTACTTCTTATTAGGTTATACAATTATCAAGCGTGACTTACAACTCTTAATTTTATTTGACACTAATTTTTAAGGGTATACACAACTGACAGTCACTTTATAAAATGCATATATGTACAATGCCCTTTGGCATTTATGATGTTAAAACTAACATATACTGTGATTGACCTACCCACAGAAAAAAAAGATCATTTACATAACACTTTAGCTGTTAGAAAGTACCGAACGTCTCCAAAAATTTTCGCAGTTTTCTCTCTCGCAATTTTCATTTATTGGCCAAAAATAAGTGAAAATAAACACCCCATGAAAAATAACCCACTATATGGTATTACAGAACATTTACCGGATTGTAGAAGTTACAGTCTCACTTTAAAAGTACATGCAAATAATATTTGCCATTCTACATTGACAAACAAATGGTAAGCAGTGTTGTGTGTTTAATAGATCAATGATTGTAGTTGGGTTTTAACCCTTTTGAGAAGTTACGCCTAATTTTGTCTTCAATTGAATGTATGAAGCTTAATACTGTAAATTCAGAAATTATTGCGAGGTTTTTATTAATACGAATAATGCGACTGGGTGAGTATCGCAATAATAAGAACTCGCATTCTGATAACTGAAACATAGACCTGTATGCAGATTTTTTCATAATCCCAATAATTTAACTTGCATTTCAGAACAACAACATGTGAATGACATATAAATATAAACCTTTGATGTTCTACATTAACACATTTAGCTGTGTTACCTTTCACTAGCTTTACTCCTTAGAAGAGAAATTGCAAATACCAATTTTAATGTCGTTGATGTGACAAGGATAAGGATAAGATCTATAACCACCTGAATTGGTGGCATACCTCCTACCATGAGACCCCTTGTTCTGTACAGTATGGACTGAATGAAACCATGACAAGGATAAGGATTAGATCTATAACCACCTGAATTGGTGGCACACCTCCTACCATGAGACTGCTTGTTCTGTAAAGTATGGACTGTATGAAACCATACATTTCATGATTGTCATGTGTGCACAGTTACAAGTACCTATAGTAAATCTTGACTTTTGACTGTTATCCACCAATTATCAAGTAATAATGGATGGAGATAATAAAATTTAAAATGTAGTGCTTACCTCGTCTATGATACATTAAGATATAAGCATTTTTGAAATCTTGCTGTTTAGGAGATTGTTGAGTGACATTCTCATCATTATAATAATACCATGTATTATCTATTGAATGTTTTGTAAAACAAGTATAGTGTCCTGAGTTTAAATCTGAAATAAAATTTTAAAAAACATAAAAACTTAGAGCAATGATTAGAGGGAAAAACATGGGGCCTATTATATGTACTCATTTCTTAATATTGTCTATGTTTAAGTACACTTGCAGAAACTAATGAAATACAGCACCTGACACCTTATACAAAAATGTTGTATCAAAAACAAACCAAAATAAAATGCTCCGCAGGGCGCAGCTTGATACGACTGCAGAGGTCGAACCCTGAACAGTTGGGGCAAGTATGGACACAACATTCAAGCTTGATACAGCTTTGCATTTGGATTGTGATTAAATATTTGACACAGCATAGGTTTCTGACACAGAATGAATGTGGTCTAAGAACTTAAAAATTTTAAATTGCACATTCACCTATTATGGTCCAATATCCAAAATCTAAATACATGGTTAGATTCAGCATATCAAAGAACCCCAAGATTTCAATTTTTCATGAAATCAAACAAAGTTTAATTTTGGACCCTTTTGACCTCAATGTGGACAAAGTTGATAACAGGGCCCAAAAATCAAAAATCTAAATACATGGTTAGATTCAGCATATCAAAGAACCCCATATATTCAATTTTTGTTGAAATCAAACAAAGTTTAATTTTGGACCCCGATTTGGACCAACTTGAAAACTGGGCCCATAATCAAAAATCTAAATACATGTTTAGATTCAGCATATCAAAGAACCCTAAGAATTCATTTTTTGTTAAAATCAAACTAAGTTTAATTTTGGACCCTTTGGACCTTAATGTAGACCAATTTGAAAATGGAACCAAAAATTAAGAATCTAAATACACGGTTAGATTCGGCATATCAAAGAACCCCAATAATTCAATTTTTGATGAAATCAAACAAAGTTTAATTTTGGACCCTTTGGACCTCAATGTGGACCAATTTAAAAACGGGGCCCAAAATCCAAAAACTAAATACACGGTTAGATTCAGCATATTAAAGAACCCCAAGAATTCAAGAATAAAACCCCATTGAAATTGGTCAAGAAATAAGCAATTTATACGAAGTATCTTCTTTTGCACAATACTGTGCAATTAAATATTTCTTGCTATTGCGCAATACTGTACAATTGACAATTTCTTGCTATTGCGCAATATTGTGCTATTGGATATTTCTTGCTATTGCGCAATACTGTGCAATTGAAGATTTCTTGCTATTGCGCAATACTGTGCAATTAAAGATTTCTTGCTATTGTGCAATACTGTGCAATTGAAAATTTCTTGCTATTGCACAATACTAATTATATAATAATTTACATATCCTGTTTGGTGTGTATCTCCTACCATATCATTATTATTTGCTGTTAAATATAAATCAGAAATAACCGACTTAAAATGGAAAATTTTAAAAGAAAAAAATAAGGAAAACCCCCCCCCCCCCCCAAATTTTTTGAACCCCCTTAGGATTCATCACCCCCAAACTCAATCCCAGCCTTCCCTTTGTGGTATGGTACCTTGCAGTACAATTTCAGAGAGATCCATACACTTGAACACAAGTTATTGTCTGGAAACTAGAAAAATGTGTTTTTTGGCCCCTTTTTGGCCCCAAATTCCTAAATGTTTAGGGCAATTACCCCAAAACTCAAACCCAGCTTTCCCTTTGTGATATGGAACCTTGTAGTACAATTTCAGAAAGATCCATACACTTACACACAAGTTATTGTCCTGAAACTAGAAAAATGCTTGTTTTTTGCCCCTTTTTGGCCCCTAATTCCTAAAATATTGAGGCAATTGCCCGCATCATCAATCCCAGCCTTCCCTTTGTGGTATGGTACATTGCAGTACAATTTCAGAGAGATTCATACACTTGAACACAAGTTATTGTCTGGAAACTAGAAAAATTCTTATTTTTGGCCCCTTTTTGGCCCCCAATTCCTAAACATTTCGCCAAATTACCCCCAAACTCAAACCCAGCTTTCCCTTTGTGATATGGAACCTTGCAGTACAATTTCAGAAAGATCCATACACTTACACACAAGTTATTGTCATGAAACTAGAAAAATGCTTGTTTTTTTGCCCTTTTTTGGCCCCTAATTCCTAAAATTTTGAGGCAATTACCCCCAAAATCAATCCCAGCATTCCTTTTGTGATATGGAACCTTGTGGTACAATGTCAGAGAGATCCATACACTAACACACAAGTTATGTCTGGAAGTTACAAAAATGCTTATTTTTGGCCCCTAATTCCTTTACTGTTGGTACCATAACCCCCAAAATCAATCCCAACCTTCCTTTTGTGGTATTGAACCTTGTGGTAAAATTTCATAGAGATCCATTCACTTAAACTAAAGTTAGAGTACGAAAACCAATGTGTCTTCGGACGACGCCGGACGACGCCAGACGACGACGACGCCAACGTCATACCAATATACGACCACAAAAATTTTTTGGCGGTCGTATAACAATAAAATAAATTATTCCTTTAACAAAACTTCCTTGTAATTCATAAAGCAATACATTGTATATTATTAATGAAATAAATCTTGTTACATTAATTTGCCCATAAAATGTCCAATACCTAAAATTACTTCTGGTAAGGCCACACCAATTTGATTAATAGTTCTTCGGACAAAAACTCAAAAAAATATGGGGCGAGCGAGCGAAATTTTTTTGTTTTTATATATTTCTTGAAAATGAGTTTTTTTTTCAGGTGAGTGCTCTACAAGTGAAGAGACGGTATAATTTTTTTTTTAAATTGTGTGATTTAGAAGTTGTACAATTTATGTACGTTATAACTGGGTTATTTCATAGAAAAACAAGGAGCAACAGATGCTCTAATGCATACAATTTGATTTATTGGTGCCTGTACCATATCAGACTTTCTTGTCTCACTGTGGTTTACTTAATTTTGGTTATTTCCTTCAAGTAAGCTTTGGAGGACTCGGTGGCCAAGTGGTCTAAGTAGATCTAGTACTGTAATCACTAGCCAGTCAACACTGTGTTTGTGAGTTCGAACCCCACTTGTGCGGGTGCACTCGACTCCAATCTTAATTGACTAGGATTGTCAGTTTTCCTATCGAAGGTCGGTGGTTTTCTCCGGGCACTCCGGCTTCCTCCACCAATAAAAACTGGCCGCCACGAAATAACCCAAATGTGGCGCTTAAAAGTGGCGTCAAAACACCAACAATCAATCAATCAAGTAAGCTTTGTCTATGTGAATTTTCATTTAAATCCATATATATATTTAGGAAGCATAGCAGATGCAGTTTTACAAGAGGAAGTATGTTGGTTAGGTAAATAACACATGTTGAATAAAATTAAAATATGTGTATGTATCCAAAAAAATGCCCCCAAAAGATATTTGATAGTTTTCATTATATGGTAATAATTGTTTATTGTTGTAGTTCAGTGTTTCTGTTGGTCCGTTGTTTTTCTCTTATAGATTATGTGTTTCCCTCGGTTTTAGTTTGTTACCCGGATTTGTTTTTGTTTAATCGAATTATGACTATTGAACAGCGGTATACTACTGTTGCCCTTATTTATTGGCTGCTTGACATCCAGTTGGAACTATTTATGCATATTTAGGATCAAAATAATGAGTGAGGTGAATATTTCTTGCTTTGTACTAAAACAACATCCTGAGTAAGATAGTTATATTGCTATACATGTAGATCCAAATGTATTAAAATATTCCTTTAAAATACCTGTCACCCCATTCACATGCATTTTCATTACTGAGCAAAAACTCTTTCCTTTTGCTCCTAAAAGCTGTTATGCATTTAAAACTCTTTAGCTTGACTAGAAGTGGTTGACCCAATTACACCCCCTAATTATTATGAACATGCCAATCACCTTGGTCTCATAGGAACTCTTTTAATTCCCCCCACCAAAAGAAGAGTTCTGCTTGCATGCCAAAAGACTAACAAGGGGATATGGGGTTTCATCAACATCAAATACTTCTGTGATTTTTTAAAAAGTTCATGGGAATTTACAATTCATTTCATCCAAAAGATAGATAGGTCTATGCCTGTTGGAACAAGGATCGGGGTGACGATGGTTCTAACAAATATTGATGTGTTTGTGGTCATTTAATGATCTTTTATTTTTGCAACCTAGAACAGGTCTTTAAAGGTAAAACAGAAAGCATTTTGGATAACTGTGTGTTCAATAACTATTTGTCCACGGCAATGACACAACTGCATGGTGGCATCCTGATTTTTGACCTTTTATTTACAAATCAATTTATCACATGTGTGTTTAAAACGATAGGAGCATTATATGCAACAGAAAAGCGTTTATGTGAGAAAAAAATTCAAGGAGAAACTAATTTTGGAGCGGCATGCGGACCAATAATTTGCGGAAGCAGTAATTTTTTTTTATTGAAAAGTCAATTTCTCCAAAACAGGAGCAGGAAAATCCAAAGAACTATTAATCAAATTGGTGTGGCCTAATGTATATTCAGCAAATATATAATTACATACAAATGGTATTTCACAAGATCATGTGCTTTAAACAGGTAATGATATAGTCTAAATAAATTTGTTCTTTTAATGTTGTCATTTGCCATAAAACACCTACCCAATTTTCTTTCCTGTTTTTTTTTTTTTATTTGTGGTACCTGAACTGTTAGGGAAAATGAATATCAATGGATATACATGAGGCAAGATTCCAAAAATAAACTTGAGAAACCACAAAATATCAAAAGAGCAGTATTTTAATCATGTAATTCATTTTGACAGTTACTATCTGTATTTCTATCAAATATAATAAATATGTACACCAATAACTGTTTTTACAGGTTTTTTTTTTTTTTTTGTAATATTCTAAGCACAATGTATATCATTATCAAACATACCTCCAAAATGACAGACAATACTGTTTAAATCATAAGTGAGATCACAAGTGACTGGTCCCGATATATGTCGAGGAAGACAAAGACCTTCCAAAGGAAAGTCTACTTCACTATCCACTTTAACGCTTACCATCTCATGGTACACAAATCTGAAGATAGATGTTGTATTAATTCATAAAAACTTTTAGTTTGTATAGGGTTTCTTAAAACCCTGTGTGTCGCCTCTTGTAGTAGAAGTCAGGTTAAAATTATAATGTTAACTGCCAAAACTAAGTCCAATGGTCAGTAAAATACGGAAAATTTTAAAATTAATTAAAAAAAACATTTGACAAGATCATTTGAGAATATGTTATTGATAAATTGGACTTTATTTACATCTTTATTCAATATTTTGTCCATGTTATGTGTGGATATTTTGAAGTTTATGGTAATGCTCAGGTGTACCTACCTTTTTAAATGTATAATAAGTACATCAGGATATCTCCATACCGTCATACTCTTACTAGCACATTGATTCTGTTGACAACGTGGACAAAACCAAGGATTATGCTTATCTAACGTCTCACTAAAATGCAATAATATAAAGACTTATAAATAAGTAGAAAGAAAAATTTTTCCTTATGATTTTAATTCTGAATTAATCATTGAATGTAAAATGCTGCAACATCAAATATTATTCACAATAAAATATTTGCATATATTCTTTCAGCTTTCTATTAAATTAAATTTATTTTCAGCTATACAATTGAGGGTGGAAAGGTAAAATTTCTAATGAAATCTTCATCAGGAAAAAGTTTTATCAGTCAACACAATCAGTCTCTTTACAGAAATTAAACCCATGTAGCCATGAGATCAGTAAACATAAGCAGTTTTTATATGGACGTTACATTAAGTATTTGTCCACCTAATCCACAGCTATCATTGATCTTTCAATTGAGTTTGCATTTGCAGACCTTTGTATTTATTTTCAGATTGTTTGGTTTGTTACTTTTGTTCCAAATATGCTGTACTCTTGTGTAATTTATATTGATTTGCAATATTGGGTGTCTCCCTATTGAAATATGCCATGTTCTGCATGTTCCTATTCAGTAATATGAAGAATAAATGGGTTGGTGTCTCATGATAATAGCTGAACTTTTATGGATATGTGTACTAAGTACAAGAAGATATGCTTAAACAAGTCCAATATTTACTGTGCATCTACTCCAAATGATATAAGAATCTGGAACATCAACCTTCACGAATAAAAATTAAGTTTCATAAATAAACAAAACAAATACACTTGACGTTTGTTTTGTATTGGATTTTCAACAATGAGCAAAACCCATAACTATTTACTGAAATGTAAAATGTTGGCTGTTTAAAGAAAATGAACTAATTAAGGCAAACCTTTCAGTGAAAGCTTGAATACAATCATAAATGGACAATGGCAGAGTGGGTCTAAGATCCATCATGGATGGATGATCTACAGACGATTCCATTCTTTCTATCACAGATAACTGAACATCATCGAGGCAAACACAAAGTGTATCTCCAGGACGTAATGAGACCTGTCCATCACGTGGTAACATACATCCTGTACATTTAGCTGTGTATACACATCTAGAACATCTACTTCCCTGGAAACAAACAAACAAAAATGCATTCTGAATTGAGAAATAAAAGTCGTTTTTCTATAGATTATTGAATGAAAGTATTCAATGTATGAATTCATTGTTTGATAACATATATGCTGGACTATAAAACAATAAAATCTATCAAGTTCAAAGTGTTCTAATTGGTCAAGAAAACCATACATTAAAGTTACAGATATCCAGTTTTATATTCCTAGTTTGAATTATCTTCATTCAAATATACCATGGTTGATACTGACAAATATCATCTGATAAAAGTTACATATATATCTACAAAATAAAATTAAGATGCCAATACAATGGAATGGCAACTATCAAATTATGTATTTATTACTTCATAAATACACAACTTATTTGAAAATGTGACATTTGAATAATGCAAAATTAAAGTTCATACCATAAATACTACAAAGTTTAATGATTCAGGTTCACATGATGTTAAATAGATAACTCAAACACTTGTTGGTTGCCTTTATTCCTTATTTATGCTAAAAAAAAAAAGGGGAGACAATTCAGCTGAACACTTACCTGTGCATCTGTTGTCAACAAATTGAACTGACAAGCATCAGGAACAATTTGTTCAATACACTCATACAGCTGAGCTCCAAACATCTGACTAGATAGATATAATACACGTGGGTGACCCAGTAAATTCCTTTGTTCTTGTACTGTTTGACAGAAAGTCACATCCACCAGTAACATCCTAAAATATATACATGAAGGCATTGACACAGAGAGGAATATTACATAAACATCACTAAAATAGTTTTAGGCTAAATATTTTTCTATTTTGGTACTTTTTTGTACTTTGAAATAGACAACTGCAATTTTGAAAATAACCCTTTTATATGTTCATACAGTAAATATCTTGACAGTTAACATATAAAATCTACCGACACCTTGAAAAACATAATGTTGCATTCTTCATGAATATGAACATAAACAGAATTCTTCCTTAACGTTTATACCTTTCCTCATTGTTTTTATCTGAATCAGCCAACTGAGTAAAGTCTTCTGTCATGACTGCAGCACATGAACACACCTAAAAATATAAAAAGACTATGGTCACAAGTGAAGTTTATGAGGCAACTTTACAGAAAGAAAAGAGTGCAATGATGATTTATTTTTTTCTTATTTTACAATTTATAATTTAAATACAGTTTGATACTAACAACAATGCTTTTAAGACATGAAAAAACTAAGAACTTTATAGAAATATATAATTGCCCAACTACAAACTGCTAGCTTGCATTTACAAAATGTTCTTCCATTAATGTGAATATTTGTGTTATTGTGTGGTGCATAGAAGTTGTGTGCATATTAGGCACTCACCCACTGGCTTACTCGCCAAGACTAGTAAAATTGGAAAGGGGCGAGTGATAAACAAAATGCACTCTTCCATATTAGCGAGTAATGTATTTTGAAATAGCACCTAGGGCATGTTGCACGATTTTTTTCAAAAAAGTGTGGGGTTTTTGTTCATATTATTTTGATACAACGATTTGTACAACATTTCATGATAAAGAACAAGGCTAAGTTAAGAAAAGACAATAACCCTTAAGAACACACAATACAAAAAGGAAAAGGAAAGAGTAGGAAAATAAAAGATTTAGCAGTGAATCAACAATCAATATCCTGTCCAATTTGTGTAATTTATCCTGTTACTTATACTTGCAAATGAACTGATAAAAACCAGGAATTAATCCATAGTTGTTCAACAATAAAGAAAATTCAATCCGTAGAGCTAGAGGACCTTAAATCGGGTGAGTAGTTCCAATAAGTACTCATCCTATTTGCCACGTGTTGAAAAAACCTATTTTTTACACTGTAGAAGCATCCATTAAAATTCTACCTCTGAAATTCACAACATCATCCTACTTTTTATCTTAAATAGTACTCACAGGACACAGAAAATTCTCTTGACCATAATGTAGTAAAGACATCTGGAAATAAAACAAATTGAAATGTTTTATGTTAAGTATTCTGGTAAATATACCAGTCTTCAAAAAACTTTTTAACTTAACATATTAGGTTAAATTCTTACAAATACAATACAAAAATTACCAAGTAAATGTCTAATCAATCTCCCCATAATCATGTTCAGAAAGGAGAAAAAAAAACACATTTGGCCAAAAAAAAACTATTTTGTATAAATCAACTTGGAAAAATATGTGCACATCAAAGGCACAACTTTATATTGGTTGTGATAATTGAACAGTTATAAGAAAACTGCTCTTAAACTGTTCTATTGTTTCATAGCTTTGCTCAATGTTTTCATTTCATTTCAAAGGAAATATAGCTGGAAAACTGCATTTTGTCAGCCCTTTTTATTTTTCTCAGATCAACATCTTCCTCATTATGTCTTTCATCTTTTCAATCCTATGCATTTGTGAGTGTAATATTGAGATAAAAGGTAAATCATTAAAGATAGATCTTGTTTTAAGTTAAATTATACCCTGCCCAAAGTTTTTACAGGCCTAAATCAAGTAATTTCTGCAAATTATCTACCTCAAGACAGCTGTGACAAAATGTAGCTCCGCATGTTTTGTGAACTAGTAACTCAGAATCAGCCAATTCTTCTAGACATATTGAGCACGATTTCCACTGGTCTACAGTTACAACTCTGTCTTTAGACAAATCTGGACTGACTTTGTTTTGATCTGCCGTCAACTGCTTGTCATCATCTTCTAAGGTAGTGACAGATGACCACTGGACATCTGATACCTCATCCACTGCTAAAGGTGTGCTACCCTCCTGAAGTGACCACTGTCCAATTGTAAAGTCAGTTGTGCCATTAATCACTTCAGATTCTTTAGAGTCTGAGAAATAAAAAGATTTCTCAAGAAGTTTATATAATGCAACATTCAAGAAATTTCAAAAAAATATTAACATCTTTCTTTGATAATAAGCTGATATTGTGAACTATATTAACCAAAAACCTTTATCATGATGCACACTACCATATTTCCAAGTTTAGTGAACCCAAAATCTGTGTCAAATACTTATTTGGAATAATGATACAAATAAAAAGTTCACATTATAATGAACATGCGTTCTAAGTTTCAAGTTGATATGACAACAACTTCAGGGTAAACTACCTTAACCAATAAACTGCTTTGCTGAGCGCAGCTGGATACGCCCGCAGAGGTCTAACCCTGAACAGTTGGGGCAAAAATGGACACAATATTCAAGCTTGATACAGGTCTGAATTTGGATTGTAATTAAATATTTGACATACATCTATTATAGGTTTCTGAATAAATGTAGTCAAAGAACTTGAAGTTGGTTATATGAATTGAATTTATATTCAATTAAAGATTTCTTGCTGTTGTGCAATACACTGTGCTGTTGCACAATATTTAGTAAATCTGTTGTCAGACTATAAACAAATAAAATTTATAAAATTCTTAAGGGAGCTTACATCAATAGATATAAACAGTTTACCAAAGTTTCATACGAATTGCTGAAAGCATTTTTGAGTTTTTGTCTGAAAACTGGAAAATTCCCCCTTTTTTAATGAATAAACCCCATAATTCGGAAATGTAAAATCTAAAATTTATAAAATTCTAAAGGGAGCTTACATCAATAGATATCAACAATTCATCAAAGTTTCATGAGAACTGCTGAAAGCATTTTTGAGTTATTGTCCGAAAACTGGAAAATCCCCCTTTTTTTTTATGAATAAAACCCCATAACTCGGAAACATAAAATCTAAAATTTATAAAAAACGAAAGAGAGCTCACGTCAATAGATATAAACAATTCACCAAAGTTTTAAGCAAATTGGTTAAAGCGTTTTTGAGTTAATGTCCGACATGTTGACGACGGACGGACAGACGGACGTACAACGGTATACCATAATACGTCCCGTAAACGGGCGTATAAAAACTTTAACCTGATACTGGACAGATGAGTGGACGAAGACGCAAAAAACATAATGCCTCCACTCCTACCAAAGGCGGTACATAAAAATTAAATAGGTGAATGTTGGTTAAATGTCAAAGTTTTAGATTCATTCCACTACTTCATAGCAAAAAATGCCATAAAAACTGCACTAAAATATCTCAGTTTACAGTTCTTTATACAATTTTAAAATGAGCATAGGGATTTCAATTTGTAATTTTCATGCTGATAAAGGCCATGTTATAGCATTCTGTTGTCCATTTACCAGTCCTTCTGAATATGCCATGGGATAACTTTATTTGTCAAAATATTTGCTAATATCTAATTGTCTTTCAACAAGTCAATTTTAGGGATTTCAGATATAGTGATTAAGATTATAACACAATGCTGACTGTTGTACCCCTATTTTTGACAACTTTACCTATTATGTCTTTTTGTTTTGTTCACACATTGATGTCAATATAATAGAATTTTGTGCGACTGTCATACAAGTGAGAGGTTTAGCTAGCTATAAAACCAGGCTTAATCCACCATTTTCTACATAAGGAAATGCCTTTACCAAGTTAGGAATATGACAGTTGTTTTCCATTCGTTTGATGTGTTTGAGCTTTTGATTTTGCCATTTGATAAGGGGACTTCCCGTTTACCTTGGAGTTCGGTATTTTCATTATTTTACTTTTTGCTCTTGACTTACATGTAAAACTGTCAATATAAGAGAAATAGGTGCATCACACTTTCATGGTACATCTGTTTATAAATTATTGGAGATAATTTAATTGGTTAAAAACTGTTTTGTTATTATATCTAATCAGCCTTTCTCTCGGTTTATATTTACAACATACCAATAGATATTTTTGTATTTTCTTTAGGCCATGAATATTGAAGTGTGGAGTCAGTTCCCCAACCATTCTCTATCACGACATCAGGACTAACGACAGATTCCACAAAATTATCATTCACTTTACAAGCTGTTCCTGAAGCAAATGAACTGCTTCCAAAATCTCTGTACATATTTGATGCAGTGAAAGTTCCAACTTGACTGAAAATGTCATTTTCTTTATTTGCTGCAGAGGTCATAGAGGTTACAGAAGAGTCTTGTGTTTCTATCCCACTTCCTAACATTGCTGCAAAAGGGGTAATCTCAAAAGCATATAACTTCCTTGATGAGCTGTTAATGTATCTTAACATAGTTGTATCATCCTGAAACAAAGAAGATTGAAACTAATGTATATTTCTGCAGGGGAATCTTCATTTTTAAATATATTTTGTGTAACATGTAAACTTATAAACATGTAATTAATAAAACTACTTTCATGCATTCCTTATAACTCTTGACATTAAGTGCAGCCTCTTTTTCTTAAAAACTGTCATTCAACATTTCTCTTTAAGTATTGGAATTTGCATATATAAGGAAAGATAGCAAAAGACTTGTACGAATACATCTAAATGCTAAAAAAGAAGATGTCAAACTTAAAGATCATAATTTATGCCAGTTATCATGGTAAGCCACAACTCGTCTTATGATACATACATATAACAAATATCACAAGTCTATGTCAAAGACAAGAGAGATTTTGTCTAGACATGCCAATACCTAAAAAAACATTCCCAGGAATACCAATATTTACAAAAATTAACTGCTATTAGATTCAAAAGTCAAATTTCAGTTATGATGGTACACCTGATAGCTAAATGTAAGATATATTGCTACAAGATGTCTAAAAGAGAGATGACAATTGAAGTAAAATATCTGCTGATGTTGCTGCTATTTAATTAGTTATCAATTAAAAAGTGAAAAAAGGTCACAAAATATGTCAATTCCCATATTAATGGCATAAATGAACTTTTGGCACTAAAATAACTCGACTTCATATTTCTACTTATTATATGAATAAAATTAACATCATTTTGAAAGAATTAAGGAATTTTACTATTTTTGTAATTTCAGGGGCCAAAGGTTAATGGTTCTAATCATACTGCCTCCTTTTTTCAACACGAAGTTTGTATAATCAGTCAACTTACAACAATTCTAGCCACATGATGATCTAAAACTTCAGCCATAATGATATTGTTGTCTGTTTTAGTCATATGACGTAGAATGTCTTTAACTTTACTGATGCGATCCCTCTTATCCATTGTCATGAGATATTGTGTGGGAGTGTTGTCTACTGATAAATACATAACACCTAAAAATTTTAAAAAATATTAAATAATGTTATAGGATGCTAAAATGGTCTCATAAATGGTCATTGGACTATAGGTTTCTGTTTAGAATATTATTTTCAGTGCAATGTGATTTATCAATAACTACATTACATGTATGTTTCTTAAGAATCTGTACTTTTGATTGGCTGAAAACACTCGTGAGGCATTCCAAAATTTTATTTCATTTTTCAATAAAATTCAACATTTAATGACTGCATGTGTTGATCGTATGCACATTCAGGCTTTATACAAAATATGTTTCGGTATATGCTTTTACACCCCAATTAAATTACAAAAAGAAGCATTCAATGCTTAATTGAAATAGTTTCATTACTAATTCGGTCATTGAAGAAACCATAATCAAAAATAAGCAGTTATGTCTACTTCCCTTTGATCTTGTTACATCCAAATCTATTTAAGGTATTCAACATAAAAGAGTAAGGAAATAAACAAAAACTGATGTTAAATTCATGAAAAAACTCGTGAAAAATGTTTCATGTTTATATTTGTGTGCATCCACTTGAGGGAATTTATCCAAAAGTGGTTATTTTGCACTCAGCTTTTAATAGTATTTTTATTGATAAAGCAAACAACGATAAAAATTGTCATTCAAATTATACTCATTGTTGTTGTCATACCCCTTTTTATTTTTGTGGGTTAATCTTAGTAAGCTAACTAATATAAAGAAACACAAGAGTGCACACGCTGAAATGTCTCGCTTTCTTTACTAACCATTGATTTTATGTTGATAGCCCTAAATACAAAGCTTTACTACAAGTAACACATAAACTTATCAAGATCCAAGAAAATGAGGTCAAGGTCAGATAAACCAAACGAGAAATACATGTACACCTTACAATCATTCAATAAACCAAACATAGTTGACCTATTGCTTATTGTTTCTAAGAAACAGTCTTAAACAAGAAAACTTAACATTGACCAATGAACCATGAAAATGAGGTCAAGGTCAAATGAACCATGCCAGACAGACATGTACACCTTACAATCAATTTAGGCATTAGATATAGTTGACCTATTGCTTATAGTATCTAAGAAACAAACTTAACCATGAAAACTTAACATTGACCAATGAACCATGAAAATGAGGTCAAGGTCAGATGATACCTGCCAGACAGACATATACACCTTACAATCCTTCCATACATCAAATATAGTTGAAGAAAAACAGACCAAAACACAAAAACTTAACACTGAGAAATGAACCGTGAAAATGAGGCCAAGGTCAAATAAAACCTGTGAGACTGACATGTACATCATAAAATATTTCCATACACCATTTATAGTTGACCTATTGCATATAGTATTAGAAAAAAAGACCAAAACTCAAAAACTTAACTTTGACCATTGAACCATGAAAATGAGGTCAAGGTCAGATGACACCTACCAGTTGGACATGTACACCTTACAATCATTCCATATACCAAATATAGTAGACCTACTGCTTATAGTATCTGATATATGGACTTGACCACGAAAACTTAACCTTGTTCACTGATCCATGAAATGAGGTAGAGGTCAAATGAAAATTGTCTGACGGGCATGAGGACCTTGCAAGGTACGCACATACTAAATATAGTTATCCTATTACTCATAATAAGAAAGAAATTAACATTACAAAAATCGTTGACTTTTTTTTAAGTAGTCACTGAAAATGAGGTCAAGGACAATGGACATATGACAGACGGAAACTTCGTAACATAAGGCATCTATATATAAAGTATGAAGCATCCAGGTCTTCTAGCTTCTAAAATATAAAGCTTTTAAGAAGTTAGCTAACGCCGCCGCCGGATCACTATCCCTATGTCGAGCTTTCTGCGACGAAAGTCACAGGCTCGACAAAAACTAAAATGCATTTTTATTTTTTTCATGTTAGAATTCTGAAAAAAATGCGTTTTCCTGCACCATTCATGCAGTTATTGTTTTTATATCTTACATTCAGTAGAATGATTTCTATATGAGCAGATTCAATAGACCTTATTGCTATTTGGAAATCTGTGCCGCTTGACCAGAGAATCGGCGCCTCTTGAACTATTGACATCATACAACAATCACTCTTCCATTGTGGTGTCAGATATTTTCTATTATGATGTCAAAATTTTACGGAAACCTTTGTGATGTCCAGTAATGGCAGACAAATAGAGATAAGGTGTCAATTACCCTTTGATACAATATAACAATATTATTTAGTCTTGTACCATTACATGTTTTGTTGTCTACAATACCAATATTATATGGCTGAGTGCTTTTTCTGAATAGATTTTTGTTGTACATGTATGCGCTTCTTATTGTCTGTGTTATTCCATTGAACAAGATTTTGTTATTATGCCTATTACAAATCAGGGCATTCATCTGTGGTACTCTTTTAATATTTATGCTTAAATGGTTTTTTTAATCGGTGTTAAGATAGTCTTTGATAATTTAACTCATATCTTGGCTATATATACTCTTGGTTACATGTATTTAGAGCTTCAAATATAGTATAGATACTTTACTATTAAAGAATGTGTGTTGACCTCAGATATTTGTTTTTTGTTTTGATTTGTTGGGTTGCTGTCTCATTAATGTCTATACCACATTAACATTTATCAAAATTTATTTTATAAGTTACTTACAAAGTTGCCTTTCATTCGCTCTTGGAAGAGGAACAGACAGGTACATAAACGGTTCAAAGGTCACTGATACATGACTGCATTCACCACATGTCACCTGTGAGATCATTTACGTAATATGATTATTACAATGCAATGACATGGTTGATAAAAAAAATTGAAATTAGTCCTTTCAGTTCAACTCATTATTCATATATCGCCAATTATTAAGTTTCTTTTTATGAATAAACTACATCATTCGACTTCGCCATGCATTTTGTAATACATGTATCATTAATGACTTAAAGAAAACTTCCATATCTTTGAGCTGGACATTTATGTTTCAATAAAATTTTCTATTATAAATATGAAGAAACTGCTTCGCCAAGCGCAGCTGGATATGACCGCAGAGGTCCAACCCTGAACAGTTGGGGCAAAAATGGACACAATATTCAAGCTTGATACAGGTCTGAATTTGGATTGTAATTACAGACTACACGAAATACGTCAGACCGTCGGACAAATCCGTTGAATAATGGATCGGTCTGGTAAAATTTTGTTGAATTCCGGTCCAAATGTCCGGTGTTGTTTTTTTTCATGGATTTTTCTAGCATTCTAGCAAAATTCCCAAACAATCTCAAAAATTCATTTTCATCTTTATTATTCATGACAGCGATGTTTATTTTGTTCAACCGCTAGCTTTATGCCGAAAATCGCCAACAAGTAATGTGTAAATCCGAGTAAAAACATATCTGACTGACAAAAACAACAATGGCTGCCATCAACCGGAAATGTAGACAATACCGGATCAGTTTCAGGGAACAGATAAGGCTAATTATGGGTTTGCCGATCATATACAATAAATAAATTTTAAAAAATCCAAGCAGGTCACAAAATACAGCTATGAAATATAAACACTAGATTTGAAAACCAAAAGATATATGAAAAAGAAAGAACAGGAAATATCTTATACAGAAACTCTAAATTATTTTTAGTTCACAAATAATTTTCATGTCAAAATCCAATTAAATGTGACATTACTTTTCTTTATCACCAAAATGCATTCAAGCAATTGTGCACAACTTTCATCACTTTTTCACTCTTATCACATGATTTCGTTTTTGTGCATTTTTGGAAAGGAGTAGGGCACAACAATTCATAAGTTTTTTTGTATTTTATCGGATAATATACAATTAGATGTAAAAAAAAATTGGTCTGGTAAAATTTCATTTGGTCTGGTAAAGCTAGGTTGTTAATTACCAGACCAAATGTCCTGTAAAAATAAAATTCATTCGTGTAGTCTGTAATTAAATATTTGACACATTATAGGTTTCTGACACAGAATAAATGTAGTCAAAGAACTTGAAATTGGTTATATGATTTGAATTTATATTCAATTGAAGATTTCTTGCTTTTGTGCAATATACTGTGCTGTTGCGCAATACTTAGTAAATCTGTTTTCAGGCTATATACAAAGAATTAGCAAAATAAATTGTGATCCCAAATTTTTCTTTGGAAAATTGACAATTTCTTAAATCATGAGGGAAAAAAATTGACCACCCCCCCCCCCCCCAAAAAAAAATTTTTTTTTTTACCCCTCCCCCTTTTCCAAAAAAATATATTTGAAGAAATTTTCTTTTTAATTTCTTTAATCTTGTGGAAAAAAAAATTTGCCCCCCCCCCCCAAAAACATTTTTTTTTAACCCCCCCCAAAATTTTTTTTACCCCCCTTTCCAAATTAAATAACATTTGAAGAAATTTTCTTTTTGTAAAATGTGGTACAGTTTAAGAGAAATCAACAAGTTATTGTCTGAAAACTACAAAAATGCTTGTTTAAGACCCTTTTTGGCCCCTAATTCCTGAACGATTTGGGCAATTACCCCCAAAATGAATCCCAACCTTCTACTTGTGGTATTAAACCATGTGGTACAATTTCAGAGCAATCAAGATACTTATACACAAGTTATTGTCCTGAAACTAGAAAAATGCTTGTTTTGGGCCCCTTTTTGGCCCCCAATTCCTAAACGGCTGGGACCATCACCCCCAAAAACAATCCCAACCTTCCTTTTGTGGTATTGAACCTTTTGCTTAAATTTCATAGAGATCCATACACTTAAACTAAAGTTATTGTCAGGAAACCAAATGTCTTCGGACGACGCCAACGATGCTGACGTGATAGCAATATACGACCCCAAAATTTTTTTGCGGTTGTATTAAAGCATGTAAGTCAGAAGTCATCAACAGAGTGTTATTATACAACATATTCATTATTGCCTTAATTATCATTAAAAATAAACTTTCAAGTTTTAAAAGAAATTAATGAATAAATAAATGGGGAATGTGTCCATGGGACACAGATGATGTCCCCGCTTGCATATAATGTTATAAAGGGACATAACTCAAGAACTGTAAAAGTGACGATACCCAAATTTGTACTTGATCTGAGTTTTGTGGTAATAAGCATTGTGTATACATTTCATAACATTTAGTTGAGGCAAACTTAAGATAGAGAACGGAAACGAAAAATCCAGCAATTTTTCCATTTCTAAAGGGGCATAACTCTAGAACAGTAAAAGTGATGCCACCAAAATTCAATCTTGATCTGTGTTTTGTGGTAATTAGCATTGTGTATAAGTTTCATAACATTTGCTTAAGGCAAACTAGAGTTAGAGAACGGAAACGAAAAATTCAGCAATATTTCCATTTGTAAAGGGGCATAACTCTAGAACGCTAAAAGTGACGCCACCAACATTCAAACTTGATCTGTGTTTTGTGGTAATAAGCATTGTGTATAAGTTTCATAACATTTGGTTGAGGCAAACTAAAGTTAGAGAACGGAAACCAATTTTGGGACGTACGTACGTACGTGTCTGTACGTAAGGACGTACAGATGGACAAGGGTAAAACTTAATGCCCCCTCCGCTACGGTGGGGCATAAAAAGTTTTAAAAAATTCTGTGTCAATCAGCTGCCTCAGTATAAATCTTTTTGGACCAAATGATAAAAGTTTACACTTGGTTAAGGCTACAGAAGAGAAAATTGTGTTTTTGGAGAGAAATCTCCATTGAGAGAGTCACCCTCACGATATGTCACAGCAAAAAACTAGCTCAACAATTTACTTGAAATTATCAAGTCAAGTATTAATTTTATCAACCATGAAAACAAGTTACAATTGAAATTAAAAATTTGGGAAAGTCTAGAGCAACTCTCAAGTTCACAAAAAGAGAAATAAAAACACCCTACACTTTCTTGACCATAACAGAAATCAAGAACCATCTTAATCACTGAAAAAAAATTGTTGAAATTGATGAAAATAGTCAACAACAGGAAAACATGTATTCTTAAAATTACAAATATACATTTCAGCAAAATGGTTTATAAGACTTACAGATGACTGATACTGTCCATGGAATGTTTTGACTATCACACTCTGATTATCCATGATATGGTCCATCCAACGTTTGTCAGCTAATCTCATTAATTTATCATTGTCCCATTCCCCATCTTCAAGATCTTCCTCCATGTTTACTTTTTCTGAGGGATCTTGCTCTGTATCAACATCCTCATCTTCATCTTGTTCTATAGCATCAACAGAATCCGTATCCTGATCAATCTCAGCATCATTGACTGCCCCTCCTAAACACATATCCTGCCTTTGTTCATTGTTGTCCTTGAACTGTAGGTGAATGTTCACCTTTTCTGAAATGACATCTTGATTTGCCATTGATTGATTGCTGGAATCCATAGTAACAATATGATGTTTTTCATTCATTTTTTTATCTTTTGTGCCTTTCCCTGAAAGACAATCTGTTTCATCAGGTCTTTCTGGTAAGCAGTTCAGCTTACTGAAAGCTTGATGCTGAAAATTCTTTTCAAAAGTGTCAAATTTGGATCTTTTCACTTTTTCATTTTCTTCATATGCATCACAGTACATATTTACATTCTTATTGCACATGTCAGCATAGATATTGATATCTTTGACTCCCTTTGGGCTGACTCGACACCTTTTCAAATCCATAACTACCATTGGTTCATTGACTACATGACTTACACCAATGTCATTGTGAACAACAGGACAATTTTCAGCCTTAGCATACTTAGAGGAGTCGAAATTTAATGATTCCTCTGGGGACTCTGATATAAGAACATTTGTGTTTAAAGTTTTAGTCTCTTTGGCATAAAACTTTTCAATTGATGGCATTTTTTTCTTAAAAATGGATGTATTATTCAAATGTAAATCTTCCAAAAGTTCTCCATCTGTTGAAACCTTCAATTGAGTCAGAGGCATTGGAAACATCTCATCCTCTTCGCTTTGAGACTGAGCATTATTTGAAGTTGTTTCCATGGATACAGAAACTTGTTGTTGTTCTAATGTATGCTGATCAAGAGCAGATGCTGCTTGTGTTTGAGAGTTATTGAGATCATTGTGAGTGATAAAGAAAGGGGTATTTGGTCCAACCTTAGTCTGATCATTGAGCGTATCCAGAAGCAAAGCTAAAAATTCCTGACAATCATGCTGAAAAGGAAAGTAAAATTACAGTGAGTTGATATATCAAATTTATACAACATGATTGAGGAGTTTTTGCATATCATCATTGCTCAAATGTGTTGCTATGTAAACAAGCAAGTTAAGCCTCAGAAAACATGGTTTATTTATTAGGTAGATATGGCTCTTAACTAGCTTTCACTATCTGTGACCAGTCCTAGATTTGTACCTAGTGTTTCTTGTCTTTTTGTTAAGTGTTTTTGTGTACTTAGTGTCAATCTGATGAAGTCAACTTTTCCAACAGATTTTTATTGTTTGTTCTTATGTTTTGCTGTTACACAAATGTCCCAGGTTTGGGGATGGTTAAGCACTCAGAAACATGTTTAACCCCTTTATATTCTTTATGTGCCTTTCCCAAGTCAGGTGCTTGTCATTCATTGGCTGTCCTTGGTTGCTGTCTGCCATGTAAGATTTTTGTATATTGTTTCTAGCATAAATCAAGCCATTGGTTTTCTTATTTCAATTGTTTCACATTTTGTAATGCCTGGTCCTTTTATAGTTAACACTGTACTATAAAGTATGGGTTTTGTTCATTGTTGGAGCCCTTACATTGATCGTTAGTACATTTTATTATAAATCTCCACAAAGTTGATTGAAATACAGAAAACAAACACTTCTGAAGAAAGCTTAATCAGACAAGCAGATACTAGTCTATTATTCTGGAGTCACCAGCTATGCAAAGCAAATCATGTTACAGTCTGTAAACTATAAAATTCCATTCTAAACAATTTCTTCACAGTTTTTTTTTTGCATACTTTTGCTGTAAGTGAAGTAAACATTCTTTTTGTCAAATGCATGAAATCTTAAACAATTTTTAAATTAAAGGTTACCTGTCTGTAGTCTTTAAACTGTCCATGTATATGTCCTAAAGCTGTTTTTAGATCTTTCGGATAAAGAATAGAAAAGTTTCCACTCCAAAATTTGGTTACAAATACAGAGAACTGTTCTGCCAAGTTGTGACTCCCAACAGCTTCCGAATGGTGTTGTAGAAAGTATCTGATAACAGGTGGTGTAGCCATTAAACTCTGAAGTCCAGCATTCATAAAACAAGTATTGCCAAGATTGTATAGCCCACATTGACCAGCACATGCTGTTGAATCTGGAATGAGAAAAACATCAATAACAGTCAAGTCTGAAACTTCACAAAAGTTCACTCTGCTCAATTTGTACTGAAAATGAAATATTCATTTTAAGACAAAAGGATAAAAATCAATCACGCAACTCATATTCTATTTCTATGAATAAAATCAAGAGAATAGAATTCATATTAATTTTAGCATACTATGTAAACACCTACAAAGTAAACATTTTTTGTGACCTTTCAATATTTTTGGACAAAAGCTTTTTGTGGACATAACATTTTTTTTCAATAAAATTGCATAAAATGAAAGTCAGTCACCTAATTTAAGTATGTACTGTTGCCACTCATAATTCAATAAATTAAACATGATGCATCTAATGACTTAAGATTATATCTTCCATTATTTGTAGTTGCTAAGATCTGATATTAATCGATATCTCACAACTGAAACCAAATAGACAAACAAATGATCAGATGATACCCTTTACACTTTGTTTTGTGGGGGATTATCATTTAAAAGACACCTGCACACAGTGAACAGCTAAGGAAAGGAAGAGCCATGAGCGCATGATACGCCAGTCGCTTTTTCAATCGAATAAAGTTCCAGAACTCCTCATGTCATATCAGAAATATATAAAAAAAACTAATGGGAGCTTATTTTAATAGATATAAACAGTCACGTAAGTTTCATGAAAACTGCTCAAAGCAATTTTTGAGTTATTGTCCGAAAACTGGAAAATCACCCCTTTTTTTATGAATAAACTCGGAAACGTAAAATCTAAAATTTATAAAAATCCAAAGGGAGCTTACGTCAATAGATATAAACAATTCATCAAAGTTTCATGAAAATTGGTTAAAGTGTTTTTGAGTTATTGTCCAACATGTTGAAGACGGACAGCAGTATACCATAATACGTCCCATAAACGGGCGTCTTAGATGCATGATTTTTTTTATTAGTTGTTATTGGCTTTCAACTAGCTATCAGTAACTGCGAGTACTCTCAGATCTGTACTTAATGTCTTTTTGTTGTGGGGATGTATAAGTACCCTGCCACGTCCACTCTGTGTTTTTGTTAGATGTATTTCTTTGTATCGATCTGACGAGTTAAGCCCTTTTCAACTGACTTTTATAGTTTATTCTTATGTTGTACTGTTACACCACTGTCCCAGGTTAGGGGGAGGGTTGGCACGCCTTCAAACTAGTTTAACCCCGCCACATTCTGTATGTGCCTGTCCCAAGTCAGGAGCCTGTAATTCAGTGGTTGTCGTTTGTTGCTGTAAATCATATTTGTTTTTCGTTCATTATTTTGTAAATAATCAGACCCTTAGTTTTCTCGTTTGAATTGTTTTCCATTTGTCATTTCAGGGCCTTTTATAGCTGACTATGTGGTATGGGTTTTACTTATTGTTGAAGGCCGTTCGGTGACCTGTCTCTTGTGGAGAGTTGACTCATTGGCAATCATATGGTTTTTTCATACCACATCTTTTTATTTTTATATGTATAAAAACTGCTTAGAACTGGACCGTTATACAAACTTCACCAAAGCCATTCATTGGGAAAATGTACATGTAGGTCACGTTCATCTAATTTCAGTGTTGACTTTCATCGATACACATACAATTTTTGTAATGGATCAACTGTCATTTGTTGTTGTATTCATTTGTACAACTGAACCTTGACATAAAACTTAACAATAGCTATGATAGACTAACATGACTAACAAACATATGGATGAAACAAAACATATGTACATGCATATCTCTCTCCAACTCTCTTTGAAAGAACAGAAATAAATAACCTTGACAATAAATTTGAACAATGGAACCAAATTAGAGGTACATGTATGTTCTTGATTTACATGTCCAACTTTGTAATTACTATAAACAAACAAATGTAAAAGAATTAAAAGTACAGTTAACTCTCGAACTCAGTTGACTTGAAATTCAGATGAGTCGAAGTTTTCTCATGGTCCCAAACTTTGTTCCATATCAATATATGTATTTCGAATCCTGATGAGTTGAAATTTCAGTTGACTCGCACTAAATTTACAGTCCCAAGGTTAACAAAAGCATTAAAAATTCATTATTAATCTCGAACTAATACACATATGTCAAAACATGACCTCAGGGATTTAAATTGATTTAAGAGTTAATCTGACAATACATGTGTAATTTAATTTCGGATCAATGTATTGATTTGTGACATTTCTTTTCCATGAGTGTTTACCTAAGATGGCCACAGACCACAATTAAATTCTCTATTAGTTCTTTATAACGTTTTGTTTCATTTAAAAAAAATGCACCGATTCTTTTTGTCAAATATTTTGTGTGTGTAAAGTACAGTACTAGTCCAAACATATATCAAACATTCAGAAATATCGCTCCCCAGCATCTTACAAATTTAGCCAATACACATCCATACCCCTATCATGCCTATGGACAAGTCAAGAGATGTTCTGAAAACTGTAAATATCACCTTTTTGCACCTGGCCTAATCACTCTTTCCATATCAAAATCAGTTAAAATACAACATCCAAAAGTTTATTTCACCTCTCTTCTTTCATTTCCATCCAAAAAAATCTAAGAAATGAGTGAGGAAGGGAAAGAAAAAAAATTAAGAAAAAATACACTCTAATTAAAAGGAACTATATTCGTGGACAACGAAAAGCGGGATCATTAATTGTGGTCTTTGGCCAGATTATCTTTGATCACCATGATAAATAATTAGTGATACATTTTTATAGTTTATGAATAAAAACAATTAACCGTAATCATACACTACATGCACTAATGGGCTTGGTTATGTATAAAGTAGGGATTTAGACTTCCGTTGGTGATCAACTCAAAACTACTCAATCAGCGTCTTTAATCTTATTGTATTTTCTCTTGCGGAAAAAGATTGAAATAAAAGAAAATGAAAAAAAAAAACAATTGTATACAAGAATGAACAATTTTGTCAACTTTAAATAACGCCAAGATCAATAGGAAATTACTCTCTCGGCTAAAAACCACAGGAAAAAATTGAAACTGTACAAAGAAATAAATAAGAGACGAAAACATACAAATACATTGATCTGAAACCAGAATATCTATCCCCTACACATATTCATCCGGATTTATTTTAGCCTTACCAGGCTAAGCAAGAGTTGTGTACCGTAGTCTGTCAAACTTCCAGTTTTCGTTTTTTGTCATGTGATGGGTCCAAAGGCTACATAAGTTAAAGTGTTTTCCTGTTAGTTCTTCTGATGTTCTTAGATCCATTTGAAATGAGGTAATTTTACGTTCACTAACATACTGTTTATCACAAAGAGTGCATAAGACAGTGGCATGAGGTTATGTCTGCTGTTGGTCTTAGACATTGTAACCCTTGATATTTAATTGAGGTGCTAATGGTGACATCATTTCTACTGCTGTCTAGGGCAAGACTGGGTTTGGTTTGGACTCGATTAGCCCTTGGTTAGAAACCACTTTTACCAGAATTATTGGCTAAGGTTTGAATTTGGTGATCATATTTTCAGATTAGATAGTAAGAATTTTCATTTTAAAATCTACGTCAAATTTTATTGAAAAAGGAATAAACGCATAATTTATAGAGAATATCATATGGCTTTTTCAATATCACATCCGTATCAACCCGAGACACCAATATAATCCCAAGAGCTCTGCTCGAGGGATTATATTGGTTGAGGGTTGATACGGTGTGTGATATTGAAAAAGCCATATCATATACACTTTATTATATACATATACCTCACGTAGATGTTTTTTTTATGTGACATGACGTCATACAGATAAGGAGGTTTGAAATGACGTCATACAGATTATAGGTTTGACCTGACGTCATACAGATAAGGGGTTTGATAAAGCCTTTGCAACAGTGACTGCAATCGATGACGTGACGTCATACAGATTAAAGGTGTGATAAAGCCTTTGCAACCGTGCTGATATCGATATCATCACGGGTGGCTGATACAGCACGCTTGCCAATGATTGTATTACACATACAATTTATCTGTATTTACTACTAAGTATATAATAAATATAAAAACATTATAAAGAGATTATAAAGAGATGTGGGTAATATTGTCAATGAGACAAAAACAAGCAACAGAAAAAATCAAATAGCATTAATCTATATAGGTTCAAAATATGGTCTTAAACAAGAAAAAAAACTAAAATCAATGAAAATATCTATAGATATACTATGTAAAGCTCTAAATCCCATGGAAATAGAAAAGAGACTATCAATATCATTTATACCTTTTAGATCTTTACTGAAACGCTCACTTGTATAGTCCTCACCACTTGCATTGTTCATTGGACCATACATAACAATTGGACTGTTTGTTCTTTCAGGATTTTCTTTAGGGCCATACATGATATCAGGGCCTTCTTCCATTTCCAAGAATGACTTGAATGTGTTACTACCACTTCCATCATTATCCTCCGTGGACATTTTTTCCGGGGAATCAATGGACATTTGAACAGGTCTTACTTCCTCTGTCTTCTCGGTAGAAGGGAGAGAAGTAGACATACTGATGTTAGTGTGATCTGGTGGCATAGCCATTTAGGACCTGAAATGGACAATTTAACTGTTTATTCTCCTCTTATTGACAAGTATATCATACTGGAAAGATATTTGTCTTAAATTCAATCCACAATCCTTATGGAAAGCAATGAGGTCACGAGGAGCTAAAAAAAAAAAAAATTTCAAGATAAATTTTAAATGATAATAATTTTCTTTTTTGAATTCTTTGAAAGTGCTTTTCACAGTGCAAATGCAATATATTTGCAGGACTCAGAGGTGCGATGGGGACGCCGAAATGTGTAATGGTCCTTTCGCTGAAGTGCGATGGTCTATAAGACATGTGATTGCTAGTTTAAAATATACAGATGTCCAATTATTATGAGAGCTTAAATTTTTTACAAGTTAGTATGTAAGTACCAAACATTCAATATCTTCTCCAATTGCAGTAAAAAACATCAGTGATTTGTCTTATTACTTGTTCTAATTCACATCAGCTGTATATATTTTTCGCTTATTTTGTTTCGTTCTGACTAACAAAGTATTTTCATTCCAAACAACTACCACATTTTTTCAGTCATTTCAATTAGTACTGGTTTTAAAGGAAAATAGCTTTTGTATGCAGAGTCAATTTCTGAACGATTGTATGAACTACTGTTGTTTTTTTTTTGGTTTGTCTAAGCTATTTACAAAGTGCAATGTACCCTACAACGTTACAGTGAGGACTTGAAATGCAATGACTATATATCATAGATATGAGAAGATGTGGTATGAGTACCAATGAGACAACTCTCCGTCCAAGTCAAAATTTATAAAAGTAAACCATTATAGGTCAAAGTACAGCCTTCAACACAGAGCCTTGGCTCACACCGAACAGCAAGCTATAAAGGTCCCCAAAAATTACTAGTGTAAAACCATTCAAACAGGAAAACCAACAGTCTAATCTACATAAATAAAATGCTCCGCTGGGTGCAGCTTGATACGACCACAGAGGTCGAACCCTGAACAGTTGGGGCAAGTATGGACACAACATTCAAGCTTGATACAGCACTGAATTTGGATTGTGATTAAATATTTGACACAGCATAGGTTTCTGACACAGAATGAATGTGGTCCAAGAACTTAAAAAAATTTAATTTACCTATTCAAACCATATCATTATTATTTGCTTTTATATATAAATCAGAAATAACCAATCAAAAATGGAAAATTTTAAAGAAAAAAAAGGGGGAAAAAAATCCCCCCCCCCAATTTTTTGAACCCCCTTATGATTCATCACCCCCAAACTAAATCCCAGCCTTCCCTTTGTGGTATGGTACATTGCAGTACAATTTCAGAGAGATCCATACACTTGAACACAAGTTATTGTCTGGAAACTAGAAAAAATGCTTGTTTTTTGGCCCCTTTTTGGTCCCAAATTCCTAAACGTTTAAGGCAATTACCTCAAAACTCAAACCCAGCTTTCCCTTTGTGATATGGAACCTTGTAGTACAATTTCCTAAAGATCCATACACTTACACACAAGTTATTGTCCTGAAACTAGAAAAATGCTTGTTTTTTTTGGCCCTTTTTGGTGCCAGATTCCTAAAATTTTGAGGCAATTACCCCCAAAATCATTCCCAGCCTTCCCTTTGTGGTATGGTACCTTGCAGTACAATTTCAGAGAGATCCATACACTTGAACACAAGTTATTGTCTGGAAACTAGAAAAATGCTTATTTTTGGCCCCTTATTCCTAAACGTTTTGGGCAATTACCCCCAAACTCAATTCCAGCTTTCCCTTTGTGATATGGAACCTTGTAGTACAATTTCATAAAGATCCATACACTTACACACAAGTTATTGTCATGAAACTAGAAAAATGCTTGTTTTTTGCCCCTTTTTTGGCCCCTAATTCTTAAAATTTGGAGGCAATTACCTCCAAAATCAATCCCAGCATTCCCTTTGTGATATAGAACCTTGTGGTACAATGTCAGAGAGATCCATACACAAACACACAAGTTATGTCTGGAAGTTACAAAGATGCTTATTTTTGGCCCCTTTTTGGCCCATAATTCCTTAACTGTTGGTACCATAACCCCCGAAATCAATCCCAACCTTCCTTTTGTGGTATTGAACCTTATGGCAAAATTTCATAGAGATCCATTCACTTAAACTAAAGTTAGAGTGCGAAAACCAATGTGTCTTTGGACGACAACGCCAACGTCATACCAATATACGACCACAAAATTTTTTTGCGGTCGTATAAAAACGTGAAACAAGAAACACTTATGAACCACATGAAAAATGACAACTACTGAACATCAGATTCCTGATTCATGACTTTTTAAAATTAAACGAGTTATATTCTCGTTGTTTTACTTAAAAAAAACTGAAATGCGACTTCCAACAAACAAGTTGACTCTACATTTACATTTGAACATGAAAAACATTGATTTATCAAATCCATCGCACTTCGGCGTAGCTATCAAGAAGATCTACAAGTTCAAAATTTAGCACATTTGCAGTTTACAATACCAAAAGATCAGGAGAAACAACGATTTTGATTGGATGATCACAGTTGTCTCCCTTGGGAAAAGTTTGAGAAAGTTCGAAATTGGGAACAGTAGAATTTAACAAAATCGTGCAATCGTGACAAGGGGTCAAAATCGAGTATTTCACGTCTGAATCGTGCAAGTTGGCAGGTATGACAGGTTAAGAAATTAAAGAATGAAAATTACAAATTTAAGTCTGTTCCAGTTGTATTTCCAACAAGATGATTGAAAATTGTCCGACGGTCACGAAGGTTAATGACCGCCATTTTGTACACAACAAGACATATTGAAGGGAGATAACACCATCTGTTATTTTAAAATGTACATTTGCAACGCTGGAGTTGTCTTTCTTTTACCAATGTATGAGCATACGAACATTCACTTTAAGTATGTAAAATACGGAACCGAGTTCGGAATGCGGATTGGAAGTCTGGTCAATGGTAAAAGAAAATTGACTGCGTCATTTTCTAATAAAATGTGGCTTTATAGTTTTTAATGTATTTGAAAATTGCATAGTTGATTTATGTAAAAAATTTGTAAGGGTTCCGCGGAACCCAGTGTCTCGCCTACTTTTGCTGTTAATCGCAGGCTCAACAAAAATGAGGAAAAAAATCAATAAAAATATTCCTTTAGATATATACTATCTTTTGATTGTAAGAAGCTTCTGTCAAAATTTGGTATAAATCCAGGATAGTTTATTAATTATGAATCTAATAAATGTTTTAAAAACTTTAACTGCAGACTGTATTTAATGTTAACTGGAAGAAAAACTAAGTCCATTTATAAGTAAAATACGGATAAACAGGTACAAAGCTTCTGTCCAAGTTTGGAACAAATCCAGGATAGTTTAAGAAAGTTATTAAAATTTTAAAAACTTTAACCACAGAGTGAATGTATTGTTTCCTGGCAGAAAAACTAAGTCCATTTATAAGTAAAATACGGAAAAAATTAAATTTTTATTTTAACAAATTTACTTCTGGATACTATCTTATGATTATAAACAAGCTTCTGTCCAAGTTTGGTACAAATCCAGGATAGTTTAAGAAAGTTATTAAAATTTCAAAAGCTTTAACCACAGAGTGAATATTTGTGGACGCTGCCGCCGACGACGATGGAATGTAGGATCGCTATGTCTCGCTTTTTCGACTAAAGTCGAAGGCTCGACAAAAATGGAGAGTTTTTATCCAAGGAATGTTCACACTAGTGTTTTTGAACCAGGAATGATTACACTAGTGATTTTGTACAGGAATGATTGCACTAGTTATTTTATACCCGGCGGGATTAATTACACTAGTGCTTTAGATCCATTCATTGATGAAGTGATTAGTACTCATTTTGAACACACGATAACACAATAATGCTTATTAACGAATGAGATTTAAATAATTTTTCTATGCAAATCTATAAAATCATATGCTTTTAAATTGTCACTAACTGTAATATTTACATTTATTGGATTGTCGAAGTTTTTCTATGTATTTGCTTTTCGGTCGACTTGGATATTAAATCATATCTTCTATGTCAATATCAAAGGATGCTTCTGTAATTGAAACTTTATGTAAGAACAAATCTGCTCTTTAAATTTGGTTTGTATCAAGTTCAATGTCCTTATCATTGATAAAGTATTTTGAGTTATAAAAATATCCTCCTCTTCATCATCAATATTATTTACGAGATTGACTCAGATTAATTAAACTGGTTCCTTGAAAATCATTTTAATTTTAACCCATTTATTTATGTAAACAATAAACCGGTCTAATATAAACAAAACAACGATATCAAGATCGACGCTTTCACACTATTTACATCCAATATTCTCTAGTGAAAATCAGTAACCCGGAATAAATACACTGTGGAATGAAAGTACGCTTACATTTGCACTTTGTATTTTTCTCTTGAAATTCAAATCATTTTTTTTAGCACAGTAAATTTATCAGGTTGGGGACAACCGGCAAATGGGAAACTATTCCCCTTATAAATAACAATCCCTCAATTAAGTAATAATGCTCAAATCTTTTTACTCAAAATGGCACAAATTTAAAGAAGATGGAACAACTTCTTCCAAAGATCCAAATTTTAATTTGGGTTTTAAAAAAGTTAGAACATGAACATGTATGTGAAGCCTTGAAAATCGTGAATTTTTCAAATTTTCATGGGCTTGTAACTTCTCTGTAAATCAGGTTTGGGCTATACAACTTCTGGAAAATTTGCTGCATTATTCATGAATAACTGCCATTTTAAGAACAAAATGTGTATTAAAAAGTAGTTTTTCAACACTAGAAAAGTATCCCTCATATGAGGAATAGTTACTCATTGAGAGAACTATTCTGTCCGATTGGATAGGTTGTTCCCAACCATTTATATTCCAAACAGGTTATTATATCTCATTTAGGAGACTGGTCCTAAACTGATAAATCCATTAGTTTCAACATAATCTGTTGTTCAAAATCCAAACAAACAGATGAGACATTATTTTTACAACTAATGTCTTCTAAATAAATTCATTATTACATAATGACAATGGCAAGACTGTCAGGGACATTAAACTCAAGAGAACTTAGAGAAGAGAAGGGTGAGACAGAAGTCCGATCGTCAAACCAATGTCTGACAAGATAAAAAGTTTTCGGCAACTGTGGAATTTCTGTTTATTTGGTGTAGCAGGTTCAGTCGATCAAAATGTAATACTACAAAAGTACAACTGTCATGACTGTTCTAGACGTTAGCGGATGTGTATGATCCTCTTATTTAGTAGTCGAAAATAAATGATAATGTAGTTTGTTTTGGCTGCTTCTGGGATCTATAATCTTACATGTTTTATGTGATAATACGCTAAAACCCTTGATAAATATCTTCTTTCGGTTTCTTCAGCATACCTTGAACAAAGGGGAACAACTATGAATTAATCCGTGTTTGTAGTGATAGTATTTATCATTGTATAATTTGCCTTTAAAAAGCGCGTAAGAGACTTTGATTTTGACTGGCTGTGTTGTCGATTTTTAATTAGAATAAAAAAAAATTAAATTAAAAAATTTCGAACAAGATGAAATGAAAAAAAAAAAGATTTCAATGTCATTTTCATGTCCTCTATCTATTTTGAAATTTGAAAAGTTTAAATGTCCCTAATTCGCTTCCGTAGAATTTCCATGCATAAACATTTTTTTGCAAGAAAAGGTAAAATAGGGGAGGGAGAATCATCATAGTTTTAGGAGATAAATCATTAAATTTATATACCGGTCAAAATACATTTCCATGTTGATTATGCTGTAAAGCTGTTAATATACAACAATATTTGGTTTCCCAAGAAGTCATTTTTGATTTCAATTATACTAAATTAACTTGACGGTGATGTGGAAGTATATTAAAACAGAATATTAAAATAATATTCATAATTTGCTAAAATCTAATTAATATCGTGCTAATTTAAAAAAAAAATATAATATAAAAGTATAAGTCAACGTGATTGTTTTAGGCTTGGTGTTCGAAATGTCTCGTATTTTATGAAGATTATCAGCGGCCATTGTATGAAAATCGTTAAAAAAAACTGAGTAGTGCAATAGAAGGGAACTGAACTCAACGGACTCCAGCACATTTTTTTTTGGCAGTGGATACTGCAAAATAGCATCTTAGGTGGTATTTTACGGGCTCCGGCAAAATAGCGATCATATATAAAGTTTTGCTATTTTGCCGGTATTAATTCAGTATTGCAGTGTGCTAGTTGTAGAAACATACACTTTAACATATAAATAAGAAATCTCTAAAAACTATGTCTTCTTTTAAAGAATGTATACATAAGGAAAGCATGGACATTAAAATTGATATTCTAATAAAGATATCCCATAAGTTTTGAAATTAAAAGTTACTTTTTATACAAAAAAATATGTCTGTTTTAATATAATACATAAGCAAAGCATACATTTTAAAATTGATATAATTAAAAATCATAATAAAAATATCACATAATTTTTATTAATTTAAAGTAAAATTCAATATCTTCAAAATGCTTTACCAGTGTTAACAAAACCAGTGCCTTGCTTTTGGTACAATTTTTAGTCTAGCACAAGAAAGATGCTGATACTGCAGACATGATCTGCACATAACACTTGTGGATAGGGTTTTTAAAATAGTTTGTTTATGATTTGTTGTTTAGCGAGAATAACACAATTATGTTTTATTTGTTATTTTAGGTTTGTTATATTATGAACTACATTAGAACGCACTTGTTAGTGCAAAGTGTATACCAAATGACGGACAATTTAGAAAGTTTTGACAATGTTATAGTTTCTGTGCTGCTTGTCATCTCAAATGCGTGCCACCATTCGTAAATGTATAAAGTTGCAAGATAAAAACCAAGATACATGTACATGTTATGATGAAACAACTTGACCAACCAGTGGATGAAGGTTTGTGGTCTTTACGCCATAACCACAACAGTTGCACATATATATAGTTGTCCTTTTCAAAGTAGTCTAAAACCTGCTTTAGCTCTTCATATGAGTCGACCAAAGAGTTGATTTCAAGTTTTTTTTTGTCATTGAAGTTTAATCTTCCATTTTCGAACGTCATTGATTTCAATAAAAAAATTATTTCATTTAGTCTGAAATCTGAAATAAGACCGGCAAAAAAGCAAAACTATATTAATCGCTATTTTGCCTCAGCCGGCAAAATAGCGCTATGAAGGCTATTTTGACGGAGCCGGTGAAATAGCATCTAAGAGGCAATGTTGCCTTTTTTTTACTAATGATATACTAATATATGACCATATATATTCTTATTTGGTAAATCAATTTTCTCTCTATATACTTATGTAGATGATCATACTATTTTGTCAAAATCTCGTAAATCTTCAATTAATGGTTCTGATAATAAAATGAATGACTTATTTATTTTCATTAGGATTAACAACCATGAATTAGATTACAGTAGTAATACCTTACTTACCTGCTAAATTAAAACTTTTGGTTTGTATCCCGAATTGCTCTTTTTGACTGAATTTTATATTTGCTTGCATGCTAATTATTTATTTCACGGAGCTATTTACTATATGTTTAGTGCTTATTTTTCTATTTATAGTGTTGCTTATGATGGTTCAATTTATTTGCTATGCTCGTGCTAATTGTCAGCTTTCTTTTACGTGTACTCTTTTGTATCTTGCCAGTTTATCATCCTTCTCTTATAAAATGCTTTCAGAGAATTAAAAAATCACCATGTTCGTTTTTATCTTTTTTTTTCGGCTCCATAACAAAATAGATAAATTATAAATACATTCTTTTCTTGTTTTGAATCAATAAAAAAATCAGTACATTTTCACCATAAGATAAAATCTTATACATTTCTTCATTCATGAAAGATCTGGTAAACAAACAGCATCAAAAGTTGCTAATTTCAGTAAAAATCAAGAACGACAATTTGCCTTTATTATTACTAAAGACAAACATGTCCCAAAGGTTGGTTGGATAATAGAGATATGACTTGGACTTCTCACACAGGTGGTATGTTTCATTGAAAAAATATAGCCCTATCCAGCAAACCATTTTTTTAAGTGGAAATCTAAATCTCCTATTTTGAGACACATAGATATAAACCAACAAACCATCTGATCCTGAACAACTGTAACTTTTAACTTTTAACTACCCTGACCAAAAGGTCAACCCACTTTTTTTATATCATTTAAAGCATTAAACCATCTGATCCTGAACAATTAGCTGTTGTGCTAAAACTATGATTTGCCTTTGAAACTTGTTTAGCTTATGATTTCTTATGATTTATTTTGTGCTTTTAGATACGGACAAAATAAGATCATGGCTTATTTCTAAACATATGACCAAATCATAATACCTAAAGAAATCTCAAAACTACAAATTTGATAGTGATTGGCAAATTTGAGAATTCTACTCTGTGGAGGGTTGCTGCTTACAATGAAGCATTAGACCAAGAGTTTCAAGTGGTGAAGTTGAAATCATCCCTTCGAAAATTTTACAGGACGCCATCACGAGTTGCTTGACCGTTATGTAATATCTGTTTCACAGATGACGACGGTTATGTTCCAATCGTCGTAACCAATATCCCGTCATCTTTTTCTCGAATATGACATCACTAAATTAGACTTATTACCGAATTGTACTGACACGAGGAACACGACGGGTGCCACATGTGGAGCAGAATCTTCTTGCCCTTCCGGTTTTTTTGTATGGTTTGTGTTGCCCAGTCTTGTTTTTTATGTCGTGTTTAGCGTTTTTTTTGCCATGGCGAATTATGAATTTGAATATCAATTTAGTAACTTCCTCCTCCCCTTTGCCAAAACTCAATTTCTATTAAGCACAACAGTTTCATATGGTTTATGCATACATACTAACACATTATAAAAGTTTAATTGCAGGATAAGGCACGTTCTCTTTAAACACAATTACATAAAAAATCGTGACAGAGAAAGGAGTAATACAAGCCATCATTACCAATTGGATTGGATTGTAGGTTATTTTGCCCAGTATTCTTAATTTTTTCAATGTTGGATATTTATTGCTGTATATATCCAAATTTATTTTTAATATTATATTTGATGCTTTTGTTGTTTTAACATTGTAGAAAACGACGAGTCTGCTAATATAACATCTTTAGCAATGAAGAGAGTTTTAAGGTAAAAATAAGATTGTCAGATCATTGTGATTAGTGATATCGACATTTAAAATTGAGAATGGAAATTGGGAATATGTCAAAAAGACAACAACCCGACCAAAGAGCAGACAACAGCCGAAGGCCACCAATGGGTCTTCAACGCAGCGAGAAAATCCCGCACCCGGAGGTGGTCCTCAGCTGGCCCCTAAATAAAATTGTGTACTAGTTCAGTGAAAATGGACGTCACACTCAACTCCAAAACATATAAATGAACTGAAATTAAAAAACATACAAGACAAACAAAGGCCAGAGGCTCCTGACTTGGGACAGGCGCAAAAATGCGGCGGGGTTAAACAAGTTTTGTGAGATCTCAACCCTCCCCCTATACCTCTAGCCAATGTAGAATAAAGAAACACATAGCAATACGCACAGTAAAACTCAGTTTAAAAGAAGTCCGAGTCCGATGTCAGAATAGGTAACAAAAGAAACTAAGGAAAATGACAATGATACGTAAATGAACAAAGAACTACTATAGCAGTTACTGACATGCCAGCTCCAGACCTCAATTAAACTGATTGAAAGATTATGTCTTCATCATATGAAAATCAAGTACAATCCCTCCCGTTAGGGATTTAGTATCATACCATCATAAAATATATGAGAAGAACATAACCCGTATCATGCCAACAACTGGTTTTAGAACAAATGTGTTTATTTCCGATGCAAAGACCCTATGCATGAATCAATATTAATACCAAAGTATGCAATCCTTAATGACTTGACAACAGTATCGTAACTATATCCTTTCCGAATAAATCGGTTTAAAGGTTTGGTTAGCTTTTGAGGTGAATGCCGACATTTTTGTGCTTTGTAAAGAATATTACCATAAAGTTGATTTTGCTTTGTCTTTATACAAGTTTTGATTGTTGAATTGTTCCAGTAATTACACATTACACATTACACAGTTCATCAAGACATATATGGTCATATAGTCAGAATTTACAATAAAGAAAAATCATAATGAACAATCTCTATAGAACGATTAGTGTACTGAAAGTAAACAGTGGTCCTGTCAAATGAACAATCTCTATAGAACGATTAGTGTACTGAAAGTAAAGAGTGGTCCTGTCAAACAAACATTGATTTTCCTTTCTTGCATACGGTACAAATGCCTTTGAGCATTCTTTTCTTAGACTTTGGATCTGTGTAAGGTACTACATTCGTTGTGTTTGTTTTCTTCCGACACGACACACAGTAAATCTTCTCTTTTTCCATTTGGACTATAAAACTAATAAGAACAAAGAATGGTATTAAAACGTCACGTCTATAGTGACCTTGAGAACTATCACGCAGATTTATATATTAAGAACAGTGGCAATAAAGCTCTGTTCCTACAATAATTAGGTGACAGTTTTTTTTTATAAGTTTATGCTCAACATTAGTTTTAGTTAATAGTTGATTTTGCTGTATATTTTCTTCCGTGGTGTCCGCGGCCATTGCAAAAAAGGAAAATTTAATTTCATGCTTCTCGAAATATGTCTTGTAATCTTTTGTTGTAGCAGGATGCTGTCACATATTCCATGGTTTTCAGATTTTTAGTCAAGTCATTTCAAATTATAGAAACGAATTACATATATATATAATACATACTATCATATATAATATTTCAATGAAATAATAGTTTGTTGGACTAATGTTAAAATCCTTTTCTCTCTTTTCAATGAGGTGTAAGAATTTCTTCTTGTTTCATTTTTTATATTTATTCAGAATCGTTTAATTTTTCAGTAGCTTAATTTAGCATCGTTTGATTTTGATTACTTAATATCCCTAGTAACCAGTAATTTTGATCTTAACATCATCTGAAAGTCTGAAACTTAAAACGTTGAGTCTTGTTCAGTAAATGCAGTACTGTGCAGGAGTTTTTTTGTGTTTCCTATCATTATTTCCTTGATAGAGGGTTGCTGCTCACAAGGAAGCTATCAAACCAAGAGTTTCAAGTGGCGAAGTTGAAATCATCCCTTCGTGAATTTTACGGACGCCATCACGAGTTTGTTTACCGTTATGAAATATCTGTTTCACAGTTGACGACGGATATGTTCCAATTGTCGTAACAACAATCTCGTCCCCTTTACCCCAAATGTGACCTACCGAATTAGCCATATCACCGGGTTTGTACTTACATGAGCAACACGACGGGCGCCACATGTGGAGCAGGATCTGCTTACCCTTCCGGAGCACCTGAGATCACCCCATTTTTTGGTGGGGTTCGTGTTGCTCAGTCTTTGGTTTTCTATGTTGTTTTGTCTACTGTTGTTTGTCTGTTTGTCTTTTTTTTTTTTAGCCATGGCTTTGTCAGTTTATTTTCGACTTATGAGTTTGAATGTCCCTTTGGTATCCTTCGCCTCTCTTTAAGACAATTCAGTGTGTTGTTCTTTTGTAAAGATAAATAACACATGCTGAACAGTCTGAACAGAGACTGAACAGATCTTTATTGACTTCAAGCGAATTGTCTGAACAGCACTGAATCTACCGCAGTGGATAGGTCTGAAACTTGACTGAAATAATGAACATTACTTACACTTTATTGTTCAGTTTTATATGAGCTCTTCAGATCTAAAAGACAGTTTCAGTTCAAAATTGGTTTACTATATATATTTGCTATTTAATTCTTTGATAACATTTAAAGTAAAACTATCCTCCTAACGATTTTTCTAACATTGAATTATTGTAATAAATGTACATAAATACCTTTTTTACAATCAACTATTTTTAATATTTTATCCCGATTGTGCCCGGCAAATCCCTCAATTCAATCAAATGAAATAAACATGTCAGTTGTTGATAACATTGTTTATATACATATATATGACTGTATTATAAAATTGTACCCGGATGTTATTTGAAAACATATTTCATCTTATTCACATTCATGATATGAAGTAGATAATGTGTAAATTTGTTCAATCATTGCTAGCAAGAACTTTGCATTGTTATTTAACATGTGTAAACCTAACTTAGATTCTTATTTCTTTGGGCCATCATCATAATTATTTAAATTTTTGTTATTATCATTCTTTGTATGTAAACAATTCGTCGGAAGCATAACTCAGTATAATTTTACATGGGTTCTAAGTAGTAAAGTTGGATTCATCCCTTCGAAAGTGTTACGTACGCCATCACGAGTTGGTTGAATGCGTGTCATAGATGACGACAAATATGTTTGGTAGTCATATTTACTACTCCGTCCTTTTTTCATTCGACATCACCATCGAATGAAACTTATCAACGAGTTTGTACTCATATAAGCAACACGACGGGTGCCTAATGAATCAGGATCTGTTTACCCTTTCGGAACACTAAGATCATCCATAGTTTTTCGTGGGGTTCGTGTTACTCAGTCTTTAGTTTTCTATATACTGTTTTGTGAACATGTTTTTTTTTTGGTCGTCTTTCGTTTTTTTACATGACTTTGCTAGTTTCTCTCGACTTATTAGTTTAAAATGTGCCCCCCTCCCTGGTATCTGGCGTCCTTGTTTAACAAACATTATGATGTAAAGTACCTTTTATGCAATTATTCAAGTTAATGCTTTACCACTGTAGTTTGAATAATTAAAAAAAAATGAAAACAGGAACGTTCAAAGCCAAATAGGTGAAAGTCAAGGATATACAAGAACCGGAACAGTTGAAGAGCTTTTCGACCAAAAATTACATAAAAATAGCCAAATCCATCTAAAGTCAACTTTGCCTGAGGGAGTTGAAACCTTAGTTTCTTAATAATATCAAAATTTATAAACGGCCAGTTTTAGAAAAGTTTGTTATAAATCATGTCAGTACCGAAGTACTTACTACTGAGCTGATGATACCCTCGGGTTTATAATCCTGACAATTTTATAAGTATGATAGATTTTAACTTAAAAACTAATCATAATATAGTAAGAATTTTTATAAAATGGTGTTCTACTCTAAAAAGAATATGGTTTGTTAAGATTTTCGGCAATTTTCTTTTTTAAGTTTTGTTAGTCGGAATACATTACATGGGATGTAAAAGAGAGGCGAAAGATACCAAAGGGATATTCAAACTCACAAGTCGAACACAAACTGAAGATGCCATGGCAATAAAACGAAAGAGGACGAAAAAACAAACAGTACACAAAACACAACAAAGAAAACAAAAAAACTGAGCAACACAAACCCCACTCAAAACCGGGGATGATCTAAAGTGCTCCGCAGGGATAAGCAGATCCTGCTCCACATGGGACAAACATGTAAATGGTTATGCATATCTGCATCCAACTAGCATGGATGAACTATTGCATTTCGCAGGATTTATGGAATGTATTAAACATTATGTTATAGGATAGAATCAGGAGCCTGTTGTTCAGTGGTTGTCGTTTGTTGGTGTGGTTCATAAGTGTTTCTCGTTTCTCGTTTTTTATATAGATTAGACCGTTGGTTTTCCTGTTTGAATTGTTTTACACTAGTCTTTTTGGGGCCCTTATAACTTGCTGCTATGTGTAAGCCAAGGCTCCGTGTTGAATGCCGTACTTTGACCTATAATTGTTTACTTTTCACAAATTGTGACTTGGATGGATAGTTGTCTCATTGGCACTCAATAAATAAGTCCAGCATTTTCATGATTTCAACTTCGGTAAATTTGTATTAGAATCAGCGTGGTTATTCTTGAAGTAAGATTTATTAAGAGGTTTGTGTTGCTCAGTATTTAGTTTTCTATGTTGTGTTTTGTGTACTATTGTTTGTCTGTTGGTCTTTTTCTTTTGTAGCCATGGCGTTGACAGTTTATTTTCGACTATGAGTTTGAATGTCCCTCTTGTGTCTTTCGCCTCTCTTTTATCATGACCCAAAACAAGGAATTTGTATCTATGTTTCTCATTTTTGTAAAAAAAAGTCTGTTTAATGAGACGATTTACTCGATCCTTCATTTGAGCATGGGGAATAGTAGTGTAAAGCGTTTAAAATCAAAGGTTTTGATATTACTAGTTTTTTACTAGACATATCAACCTTCAACTTTCAATTTCGATCAGTTGAACTACAAAAGGTTTATAGCGGAATACAATTAAAATCAAAAGAGAAAAATCATTTTATACAGGTATAGTAGACACCAAAACCACAAGAACAAGCAAAACAAATAATAAAAAAAACTTAAGAATTCTTGCAGCTCACTGGAAGCAAGTTAAAAATATTTAACATGTTATAGTAGAAGTATTTTGAAATAGAGTTCATACAGCAAAGTAAAGAAACACTGCGCAAGTAGACAAGACATTGTAAGAATGAGTTGTATTTGATGAATTTCACTGCATATTTTTTAAGAAAATTTGGATTGTTGGCATCGTTCACAATGAACAACTTAGAGAGTTATTATCCAAATGCTTGACATATCGAATCCCACAGCCTATCAACTGAAAGAAGAAATTCAGGTAACAGATAGATGCAGTTGGATGTTTTATCCTCTCTTCACGAAAAATATGTTGTTAAAGCAGAAAAAGGCTCGAACAATACATTTTTAATGCAATAATCATTATTTATAATGTGTAACAAAAGAACTCGGAATTCCCAGCAAAACTGGGAAATCACACATATACCCCGACATCATTCACGAAGATGGGATTTTTGAAAATCACAAATTCTTCATTCTCTCCTTTGATTCTAACATTAAAAAAAAATCTGCCGTTTTTATACTGGATACCTAAACTTCACAAAAATCCTTGTTAAGATCGATATATAGTCCGGTAAATTTTCCGGCAGTGTTACACCCTCTGTTCCATCGTATAGCATTTACATACCTCATTTAATACGTTAAGCTCGTGCATGTTCACATATTATGACTTCGTTAACCAAGGATGCTCCTTACACATAAACTGATCCAACAGAATTATGAGAAAGAACGACTGAAACCAACGTTACATAAGTGTTACGGCCAACACCACGAATTGAGTGACCGATAAGGTGCGTCGATGTCTCAACTCATTTCGCGGTCCTAGATAATTAACTACTAGTATAGTTGTCTGATCTGTACATTTTTTCGATTGTGTCCTAATCCCGAATTCCGATTGCGACATTTTGATTGTGATTTCGCATAGCGGGTGATGCATGCATAGCAGGAGATGATGACCCGGTCGACAAACTCAGTCTCGCTCCCAATTCCATCGGTTGCTCTTTGATACCTTGATTTGTCTTTTCCTAATAGATTTACAATATATAAACATCGGTAAACTACTATCATATTAATTTAACCCGTTTACTGTGTATTCCTGTCTGAAGGCAGGAACTGATCAATTGAATAAAACAAATCTGGTGATGTCGTGTATGTCAATAAACGAATTGAAGAATTATATCTGGTTTAAATGCTACAAATTATCACGAAAAGGAAAGGTTAATGATTCTGATGATGACCAGCTTAGTTAAAGTTACTCACGAAAGAGGCGGAAAAATACCAGAAGATAATTCAAAACTCATATGTCGAAGTGAAATAACATAAGCGGTACCGATTTTTCTGCACCAGATGCGCATTTCGACAATCAATGTGTCTTCAGTGATACTCGAGGCCAAAATATTTGAAAATCCAAAGCTTATTAAAAAGATGAAGAGCTATAAACCAAAAAGGACAAAAAAGTATGAAAGTGATAATCCCATAGCAAAAGACCAAGAAGTCAACTAAAAGAGGGACGAAAGATACCAGAGGGACAGTCAAACTCATAGATAGAAAACAAACTGACAACGTCATGGCCAAAAATAAAAAGACAAACAGACAAATAATAGTACAGATGACACAACATAGAAAACTAAAGACTAAGCAACACGAACCCCACCAAAAACTGGGGGTGATCTCAGGTGTTCCGGAAGGGTAAGCAGATCCTGCTCCACATATGGCACCCGTCGAGTTGCTTATGTTATTACAAATCCGGTAAATTATCTAATTCGGTAAGTCACATTCGTGAAAAGGGAAGGGTATTGTAGTTACGACATAAGGAACATATCCGATATCATCTGTGAAACGGTTATTCCATAACGGTCAACCAACTCGTGATGGCGTCCGTAAAATTTACGAAGGGATGACTTCAACTTCACCATTTGGAACTCTTGGTTTAATAGCTTCCTTGTGAGCAGCAATCTTCTATCAAGGAAATCATGATAGGAAACACAAGCCCGGGAATATCGTATCAATTGGGAGATATATACTCCGTATGCAGGCGCTGCTGGAATGTTGCTACATAGAAATGGAAAGTTCACAATTGGGAAGCTGAAATCATCTCTTTTGTCGTAAAGTTTTGTTTTCAACCGACCCTCATTGTCAATTTCTAGATGTAAGTCAAGATATGAGGCAGACTTACCTGTATCTGTAGTATCCTTTATCTCTAGTTCGATGGGATAGATTCGTTCAACATAGTCACCAAATTTTGTATTATTTAGTGAGAGAACATCATCTATATAGCGGAACGTAGAGTTAAAGGATATTGCTAACTTCTTATCTCTCTTCCTAAGAAGCTCCTGTATGAAGTCAGCCTCATAATAATAAAGAAACAAGTCGGCAAGAAGAGGGGCATAATTGGTTCCCATTGGAATTCCGACAGTCTGTTGAAAAACACGTCCTCCAAACGTAACAAATATGTTGTCAATCAAGAAATCAAGCATCTTGATAATGTCAATTTCAGAGAATTTTTTGTTTGAATCAGAGTGATTCTTTTCAAAGTAGGATTTATCCCTCCCCAAGACAAGATACTTGTATCTACGTTCGCCATTCTTTTTAATGAAACAAAGTAATACCAACTCTTTCAATTTGTCTTTTAGTTTGGAATGGGGAATACTTGTGTAAAGTGTAGAAAAGTCAAATGTTTTAATACTATTGCAAGATGAGAGAGTCTTAGATTGTATGTACTCTAAAAGATCTTTGGAATTTTTTAGTATCCACATCTGATTCACGCCACCTCTAGAATAGGCAGTTTCACAATAACTTTGGAGCCCGGCTTTGATTGCTGATAAAATAGATGTTAATAATTTAGAAAGAGGTTTCGTGGAGCACTTGGAAGACCCAGCAATATACCGTTGTTTGTAAGGACACTTATGTAGTTTAGGTATCCAATACAGTGATGGAAGATCCAGTTCTTCGTCTTTGGTTGAAATTCCAAAGGAACATAGAACAGACCTATGATTATCTAGGATTTCCTCTTTGGTAAGTGTCGTGAGGGTATATGTTGAGTTTCCAAGTGAATTGTCAATACCTAATTCATTTATCGAGCAGTTTATGTAATGATATTTACACACAAAAACGATGTTGTTTGGGGCTTTATCTGCGGGGACAACAACATATTTGTCATGGAGGTAGGACAAGTGTTTTGCAACATTTGGGTCTTTAAAAATTGATGTAGCGTGGGTATTGATATGCCCATTTAGTTTCTTAATTCGGATTTGTATCAACGACCTCACAGCCTTAATCCATTCGGAAAGAGTATCTACGTCTTCTTTCTCGCGTTTAGCCCATTGCCTGGCATAATCCTCGACTGAATCCATCAGTATTTTGAAGTTGTATTTCCAATTCATGGATTTAGGCTCACGATATTTCGGACCTTTGGATAACAAATTTCGCAAGGAAGTGTTATCGACAATGTTGAGGTCTCCGGTAATAACGTGGCCAGCCGGATTATATGTGAATTGGGAACTAGCACAGGTGCAATCAGGAGGTTTAGACTTGAAGTCGTCAATGTTGAGATCCTGCAAAACGTGTTTGTAATTGAAAATTTTAGTTGCAATTGGTTTGGTATAGGTATAAGAAATTATTGGTACAGACTGATCTTTAAAATAAGGAGGTATTTTCGACTGAACTAATTTATGATGAAGGATATTGCCTAAGTTGACGCCATCGAGACCTTTGTTGGCAAAGGAAAGTTTAAGAAAAGATCTTTTCTCTTTTTCATCTTTTCCAATGCGAACTGGTTTGAAAAGTCTGTGACTTGCAATATCCGAAATAATAGCTGTAAGTTTGTATTGGTTTGAATGAGGGTTTGTAACCGTGGTTTCCAAACATAAATTGAACAGAGAATGAAGTTTTGAAAGGGGTAATGAATACAGTTTCGTGCGAATGTGATGAATACCTAACGGCTTTTGTATAAATGGCAGCAAGTCATTAATAGAGACATCATGCAAAGTAGGTGATGTATAATGACGATGACCATGACTGCGTCTACGTCGAGGAGTAGAGTTGAAAATATTCATCACATTCACCGAGCTACAGGAAGGACTAGATAGAATACCTATACCATCAATTTTGTCATTGCAACCATATGGTGTCGCAGTTCCCAATTGTCGAATCCAGTAGTCCTCTTTTTGTCTACGGAGAGGCGTTGCAAGTTGAGGATTGTTAGTCTTGTGGTATATTTTTTCGATTATACGAACTGTCATAGAGACGATGGAATGATCAGGCTGATTAAAATGCTGGTACAGAATGTCGTTTGCATTGAGGTTGATATCTGATCTATGGCCGCACATACGTTTGTTTAGCCTTCCTTTCGTTTCACCGACGTAAACCAATCCACAAAGGTTACACTCTAATCCATAGACGACATTCATAGATTTACAATTCAGATCATCGTAACTTCTAGTAAAGTAAGACTTTTTAGTTAAACATTACATAGTTTTCTCATCGTAACTTCTAGTAAAGTAAGACTTTTTAGTTAAACATTACATAGTTTTCTCAAACAATCGAAAAATTTATGAACTCTGTCCCAAATAGTTCACGAAAAGATTATATTACGTAATTGACACACAAATTCTGAAGGAGGATGTAATTGTTGAGTAGAACATGTACTCTTAATAAGTAACAACAGTGAGTACAATAAAGGTATTTGTGTTGTAAAATATGATGTATATTTTTATATAGTGACTAATAATTGAATTAATAAATAAAAACTGTGACTGTTTTTCTTCTATCATTGATGGTATACTCCTTGTTTGAAAATGATGTTTGCAACTTTAATATTCTTGAATCCGAACCACTGGGTCAGTACAAACCTTCCAGTAGCCATTTCTTTGGTATTGGCGTGATTTGAATGATTCATTTTGTATGTAAATATCCAATGTATTTAATTGTGTAGTTATAATTTAACTAAGGATACAACTCCCTCAGTCAAGGAATACTTATGCCTTGTTGTTGGTTTGAATTCCCACGACAATTATATTTGGTTTTTTTTTATGGCGTTCCTAACTCTTGGTATCGAGTGTGCCTAAGAAATATTTGTCCAGCAATACATATCGAGCGCAAGGCAATGATATCATACGTTTTTGTTAAAAGAGAAACTGCATATGTATCTATTGTGCTTCAGGTGAAATATTAAATCTCCTACAAGTATATGATTTTGATCACTTGAAATTTGAATTTGTCAAATGCTTTTTAAGGGTGTCCAGAGGGAATGTACTCTTATAACCAACATTATAAACAAATGAATATTAAACCAGTCATTCTTGGATATACTTATCTTGCATAGGATAGTATTGCACAGTTAATCTTATTTTAATCATAAGTATAAATTTAATTTCTTATAACCAACATTATAAACAAATAAATATTAAACCAATCATTCTTGGATATACTTATCTTGCATAGGATAGTATTGCACAAATTTTATTTTAAACATAAATATAACTTTAATTTCAATAGCCCAATGTTTTTTTTTTTCAAATGTAAATAAGGGAATTACCACTTCTGAGGTGTTTTAGAGAGAGAAAGATTGAATTTCCTTTTCATTGTTTGATTCCATATGTTTCCTAAGCCGAAATATTTCACAGTCCTTTTTAGCACAGAAGAGTGAAAATCATATGAATGTGTGTTGCATTTAACAATTATTTCCATGTAAGAGTCAAATTTAATGTATGTAAAGCGTAAAGCAATGGTTTAAAAAAAAGACAAATTAGACCAGTTTTCTGGTACATTTATTATTCCACTAAGCAGGATGTTGATTGTAATATCTTTTAAATACTGTACTCTGCTACTTTGTTAAATTAGTATTTTTTTCTGCAACCAAATTGTAGAAGTTTTTACATTTACCTTCTGTAGTTGTCAATATTTCGTAGTGTTGGAGAAGTTCATTTTTAAAAATTTCAAACACATTAATTTGTTTTGTTTTCTGCTCGGATATATAATATACTTTATATATAGTAAAAAGTATAATTGTTAGAAAATCACTAATATTGTAATAATTTGTATCGTTTATCTTGTATCCATACAAAAGTGATGCAAGTGATATTATATGATGTCCTATTTTAAGTTTATATAGTATTAGTTTTATTTGATCCCAAAATGATTTCAGATAGTTGCATGTCAAAAAGTAATGTTCATAATCTTCAATGACATTTCATATATTACATAAAGGAGTTTTAGTTATTTTCCAAGAGTTAAGTAATTGTTTGGTTGGTAAACTGTAATGTAGAAATTTCCATCTTAACATTCTCAATTTATTATCTTGGATATAGTTAAAGATAAGTACAACATTTGTTCTCTTTTCCTTGTATTATTAACTTAAATAAGAATTCAGTCCCATGTTTGAAATCATATTGCTTTCTCATAATATCTATTTAAAAGGGAGATATAAATATCTTTGGAGGAAAATGTTTTTCGTTTTTTACTTTTTTTATTCAAGAGTCACTGATGAGTTTTTGTAGATGACACGTGCGTCTGGCGTATACAATTTTGATCCTGGTATCTATGATGAGCTTTATATACTTTGTCGTTTGTCACTCTTTTTTAACGATTTTTCATGTACCTATAAATTTAGTCTTTATAAATCGTTACAGTTAAGAAATATGAGACGGAATTAAATGTCTCTTTTGCTGAACACACACTATTTTTTCTTTCTGCAATGCTTTTGATGCGTTTTTGTCTTATTTTGCTAACACCGGTATAATATTTCCTTTAGACTTCATACCAATCATCATCTAGCTCAGCTATACAAAACGGTTTATTTATGGTTGTATATTCTATAACTTAGAAATGTATTTATTTAGTGTAGGTTCTAAAATCGGTATAACTTGATACAAAAGTAATAACAAAACAAGTTATCATTGATAATTGCAAGTACCAAACATTTCCCTTTATTCATTTCCTTGAAAGTTCTTATTAAAAGCCTATTATGTAGTCGAATTACTTGTAGTTTCTAGGATTTCTGTTGTTGTATGTTCCTCCGTTGATGTAGCTGTTTGTTCACTTGAAGTTACAGTATCTGGATTCGTAGTTCGTAGTGTTATAGTACTTGGCGTTGTTATTTGTGTTGTAAGTACTTCAGTTGTTGTCAGCTGTTTGGATGTTGTTTGCTCATTTGAAGTTGTGGTATCTGACTTCGTTGTCTCTATTGTTGTCATTATTTCCGTAGGTAAACTACTTGATACTGTTGTACTTGTATCTACCTCTGTTGTTTGTACTTGTGATGTGGTTGTAATTTCTTTCGCAGATGTCGATGATATCGTTGTAGAAGTTTGGTCTATTGTTGTTTTGCCTCTTGTGTAAGGCGGTTCACTAACAAGTCTCTGCTTTACAAATGTATATCTTACCGTTTTTGTAGAATTTTGTTCATATGCATACATGCTTATTGTTCGCACAGTTGTCAATTGTTTGTTAACATTTTCTTCAATAACATTTTCGTTTGGTATATTTGAGACACGAAAAAGAAGGGAAACATTTGCCGTAATGGATCCATTCCTGCAATTAGAAAAACTATTATTATTTCATACTCCAATTTTCACACTCATGGTTCTTGTGTGTCGTGTTATTTAGGTTGACCGGTGGCTGTTAACTTTGATATTTTTGTTTGACAAATCTGCCATAACTAAACATTTGAAATATCAATTCCAAAAATGAGGAAAAGGCTTATAATTTAAGATAATCATATTTTCCCTTAAATATACCTCTTTCTATTTAAATGGATTTCTGTCTTATATTAGAAAATAGATTATGAACCGATTTTATTATTTCAGTTTGATTATCAATAGATTTTACCGGCTATGATATGTGATAATTCTTTTACAATTTAAGAGAGTCTTGTTACTGAAAGGAGAAGGTATAATAAATATAAAAAAGAAGATGTGGTATGATTGCCAATGAGACAACTCTCCACAAGAGACAAAATGACACAGAAATTAACAACTATAGATCACCGTACGGACTTCAACAATGAGCAAAGCCCAAACCGCATAGTCAGCTATAAACGGCCCCGAAATGACAAATATAAAACAATTCAAACGAGAAAACTAACGGATGATTTATGTACAAAATAATAAACGAAAAACAAATATGTTACACAGAAACAAACGACAACCACTGAATTACAGGCTCCTGACTTGGGACAGGCACATTCATAATGTGGCGGGGTTAAGGCCACTTTTTATGGTTCATTGAATTCGTTATCCCTATTGGTTAAAGTCCTATTTACGTTTAACCACATCTCCTTTTATTCATATTCACAAGACATTAATCAGATATCAGTATCTAAATTTTTTAATCGTGTCTTACATATTTAACTCAGAGCTTCGGGCTTCTTGTAATATATAGGGAGCACATGTTGATTCCTCTTTCATAAATATATGCCGCTTTGTATTTCCATGGTCATGTTAGTAGTCATCATGGTGTCAGCTGGACAGTGCACTATTTTATTGTATGTTCTACTTTTGCGACACATGGTCTAGATATGCAAAAGGGTTGTTTGTGTGCATATTAAACTGGTTTAATCGCAATATTGTTTTGGAATGTTTTGCCAATAGCCAGTCCGGACACCTCTAGACTATGTGTTGCTCGTTTTTTTTTATGAAACATTAAATTAAAAAAAGAAGATAGATTCAAGTTCTTGCTAGAATTTGTAAATACATGTATTAGATTTTTTTTCATGTTTAAATACTGGAAAACATGAATGTTAACTGTTTTTAATGCAAAAGAAAAAAAAATTAACATCATTTTTTAGACTTGATTGAATTGCGTTGTACGCAGATATCATTACCAATAAGAGGCATATTGGAAGAGAAACTACACCTCGGAATTATCGAAATGCAACAAGCACTCTGCAAAAAAGACACACATAATAATTTTGTTTTTCAATTGTTATTCTGAGTACTTTAAATCGTTTTTTTACAGCAATGCTTTGGAATATTAAGTTAAAGTTATTGCCACTGAACATTGTAATGACATTTGACATTCCTGTGAGTTCTGAACATTTGTTAATTGTATTTTTTAGCAATTTGCTTATTTTTGTACGAACCTGATATTATTAAGGTCGCAGGAATAAAAACTGCTGTACGACGAGAAAGCTGTATCTATCTGGAATATAATAGATAAATGTAAGTAATTGAAATCGATGATAAACATCCTTTGCAATAACGAAACCACCCCCCCCCCCCCCCCCCCAAAAAAAAAATCATTGATAATTGACCATAACTTTAAGATGCAGGATTGTATAACTTATCTATTATACATAAAATTATTGTACTAGTGGAAAAACCTTCTTGCAGTGAACATAAATCACATGTTTTCTGTATTTTGTTAACGTTACAGATGAAATATTTCATTTAATAGTATGAAATTTATTTTGCAAGTAGGTTCGTGCATTGGTCGAAGAACAATCCCCGAGTTATGTGATTTATTGTTCTACACTTTGGTTAACGTTATGTTATGTATTCATTTATATATTTTTGTAACTTGTCGGTGTTTCATTGGAATTTTTTGTTAGTCACTTATTTGTCTTTGTCTTTTTCAATTGTGGTGTGTGGTTTTTCACTTGTTCCACTGATTGATAGCGTTTGATTTTGTTAGTTTTTATGGATTTCCCTTTTTGAATTTGCCTTGGAGTTCGGTATTTTTGTTACACTTTTTTACATGTTATGTGAAAATTGATAAAAAGGTGATACATGTATAATTTAGGATATGTTTCCCATAAAGTTAAAAATAAAGGTAAAATATTTAAAAAGCTGTGAAAATTACAAAAAAGTTTAAATATATCTTGTTTTTGAATCGGTGTGAAACACTTTAGTGGATTAACTTCCAACCTTAAAGCAATATTAATGTCAAATATTATTCACATACCTGACGACATATATCCTGTTCCATGCTTCTGATATCAAAATTAGCATCTACATATCCACTAAATTTTATACTTATTTCAATTTGAGCTAAATAATAAAAAAATATCTGTGTTTCTATATATTTATTATATTTCTTTAAAAGTATCGATAAATAACGATAATGAATCAAATTGAATTTTGTGACCCTTTGTATATCGTCAAACTGTATGGGCAAGATTGTCAGAGGTAATGCATTCACTTATTCCAAACAGTAAGCCTTGCGGGCTTAGTCTAAATAAACTCATCATAGATACCAGGCTTATAATTTTGAACGTGAAATTCGCGTTTTGTCGACAACAAACTCATCAGTTCCGGTCAGTATCCTTATGGTATTAGATGGTTTGTTGTTGTTTTCGCTTTATATGTTTCAAATCTACGTAGAAAATAGTAAATCACGAAGAATTTAAATTTTTTCTCATCAATCTGTTGATCGGTTACCGAGTCCCTTGATCTTTTATCTTTATGATTACACCGTAAATTAAGTCGGTATGTAACGTTTTATTTCAAAAATGGTATTTCGTCAATTTTGATAATAAAATGGGGGTGTATTTCAATATAGGTAACTATTTGTCAATGTTTTTATGACATGGTTTAAAAAACCTTTCTAAAATTGTCCGTTTATAAATTTTGAAATATAAAGATACTAAGGTTTCAACTCCCTCAGTTGACCTTCGACGGATTTGGCTAATTTTTAGGTATTTGTTTTGTCATATAGCTCTTGAACTGTTTTGGTTCTTATACATCCTTAGCTTTCAAATATTCGGCTTTGAGCGTTCCTGATGAAGGTAAATCCAGAAAAGCGCTTCGGACGAATGAAATTTATAACGTGTTATTTTTATTTTTTATTCTATATTCTTTTGATTGAAAGTACACTACGAATGTAGAATTTGACTTTGATGCCTCAGATTCGTATACCTTCTAAGGATTTTTGAGAAATAACATATAAACAGATATATCAATGTTTTAAACCTGTTTTCAGTCTTAATTATATGAAATAGACATACGTCATTAGACAAGAAAAAAAAATATATTGTAATTTCAAAATTTAACTACATATGTCTATTTTCATCATTATTAAAGGAAATAACTCCTATGTGGGTGTTCCTAAAGACTGTTTGGGTTATTAAGCTTATCAGCGACCGTCGGGTGCTTTTGTCCTTAAATTTGTCAACATCGAACTGAAAATAAGGTTGTGATTTCTGACATCAGAAAAAAGTCAAGCGATTCTTTCCGATATAGTAAAGAAATGCATTAGTAATTTAAATTTGCTCAACTTTGCAGTTTAAAAAGTAAGAACCAGGAAACCATCCAATGCAAACGTGACCTCTTATCATTGTTCTTGAAATAATTTAGAAAGGTCAAATTAATTCGTTCAGTCATGCTTAGAAAAGGTAGTGCAACTCTTTTAATCCTTTTTTGTGTATCTGCATCATCGAGGGCATAACCAAGAAACTATAAACATATACTATGTCAAACTCAACTTATGAACAACATATCCTGATATTGCAAAGGTATTTCAAATAATATTTTTCAATCAAACCTAAGATATATCTAGCAGGAACCTAAAGAATATAATGACAATAAAAGAATAAAATATAAAAAAATGTCAGTATCACTCCCCTGTATAAAAGAGAGGTTAAAGATACCAAAGGGACATTCAAACTCATAAATCGAAAATAAACTGACAACGCCATGGCTAAAAAAAGAAAAAGACCAACAAACAACAGTACACAAAACACAACATAGAAAATCAAAAACTGAGCAACACGAACCCCACCAAAAACTGGGGTGATCTCAGGTGCTCCGGAAGGGGAAGCAGATCCTGCTTCACCTGTGGCACCCATTGTGTTGCTCATGTTAGTACAAACCCGGTAATAAGTCTAATTCGGAAGGTCACATTCTGGGAAAAGGGGACAGGATTGTAGTTACGACAATAGGAACATATCCGCTGTCGTCTGTGAAACAGATATTAAATAACGGTCAACCAACTCGTGATGGCGTCCGTAAAATTTACGGTGATGATTTCAACTTCACCACTTGGAACTCTTGGTTTAATAGCTTTCCCGTCAGCATCAACCCTCTATCAAGGAAATCATGATAGAAATAATAAACCCTGGAATATCGTATCAACTTGTAGATATATACTCCGTATGCAGTGGCTGCCAGACTGTTGCTACAAGGATATTCTAAAGTAGCCATAGTAATAATTATGTTCTGATCGGATGGATTTTTTTTTCAGTAACAGTCGTTTGTTTCACAATAATTAATGGTATAGTTTGAGAACATGAGCTAACATCGGAATATTCAAACGATTATAACAATGTCCGGTAAATTGAAATTCTGAAATACTTACCAAAATCGGAAGGATCTGTGACTGAAAAATAAGAATATTTATTAATTTAAACGATACCGAAAAGGAACAAAATATGATGGCATGGATATCATGAAATTGGTTTTTTTTCAACACATTCCCATACTTATAATAAATGAGAATAGAATACAACATTTTGTATTTTGCTGTATCTCTGCTTCATATTAATCAGTTTTAACAAAGGTCAGAGGAAGAAGCGAAAGAAAAAAATAGGCCTCATTTTGTGACGTTTATCTTCAATAACCGACTTTTAAACGAATGAATTAAAGTCATGACAGGCTATTTGTTTGAAACAAATTCCTTTGCTTTTTGTGTGTGTGTGTTTTGTTTTTTTTTTTTTTTTTGCTGTGCATGTACTGATTTTGTGTCATGGATGGATACCTCATGTCCTTTGTTTTTCTATTATTAGGACACCAGAATAAACGTGGGATCTTTAAAAGTCTGATCATTTCCTTTTCCCTCTATATTGCATGCTATATATACTGAGTCTGGATTGTAAAGCAGGAGATTTTTACTTTGTCGACGAACAGTGTTTTGGTCTGTTTGGAGTTATGCGGTTCACTCAGCTTTTTCTTTTGTTTTGTGTTGCATCTTACTTATTAATTATTCATTGATATATTATAGCATTGTAATAAATCATTGTTTGAAACAAATTGCATAAGAAAGAAAGAGCGGTGAAGAGACATCAAGTCTTTTTACTTTATTTCTGTTCATTCTTTTAATAAATACTTTTATTATATCTAATTACATTTTGAAAAGTCATATACCATGATTTCAGTCTGATATAATATTTACAAATGTAAAACTAACTATTTAATGTTAATAAAACAAAAATATGAAAGAGATAGCTATGGCCACATACACAGAGAAATACAAGTTACTTACATATCACAATCACAGGTATAACAGGAAATACAAAAATAATCATTAAGAATAATCCACAAAAACATGAAGCGATGTTATTTGTTTTTTCTTTATGCTGGTTTGGAGGAAGAAGATCTTTGGTACTTGAAGAACTCAATGCATCAAATAAATCCAATACTTTAGGACCCTGTAGCAAGGAAAAGGAATTGAACAAATGACATTGTAATCTGTAACACTGTTATGTAATTATGTATTTAAAGTAGATTGTATATGGATAAGATATCATGTTTCCCACAAGATGCATGCTGTAATAATTAGAAGAACATTTTGTTTCCAAATAAAGGCAACAGTAGTATACCAGTGTTCAAAAGTCATAAATCGATTGAGAGAAAACAAATCCGGGTTACAAACCAAAACCGAAGGAAACACATCAAATATAAGAGGAAAACAAAGGAACAATAGGAACACCGAAGTGCAACAAACACAAACGCCAACACACATAGAAACAATGGTTGGTTGAACCTGGTTTCATGGCATGTCATAGCGATACAGATTATAGGCATATAACAAAATACACATCGAATTTGAATACACACATACATAAACTATATAATATATATATAAACAGCAATAAATAGCGAATAATATCGATATACAATTGTTCAATAACAGTAGCGGAGCATGACACACAACATTTATGAATTACGAAGTTTTTCGGCAGCAAACAAATATTTCCCTAAATTATTCAGTTCTTTTACATTTTGTACTGATCATAACTGAACAAGTGGTCTGCTTACCCTTCCAGAGCACTTGAGATCATCCCCAGTTTTTTGTGGGGTTCGTGTTAGTCTTTAGTTTTCTATGTTGTGTCTTGTGTACTATTATTTGTCTGATTGTCTTTTTATTTTTTAGCCATGCCGTTGTCAGTTTATTTTCGAACTATGAGTTTGACTGTCCCTCTGGTATCTTTCGCCCCTCTTTTAAAAAATGAAGGATTTCTCCAATAGTATTATTTTATATATATCTTACGTGTATCTTCGTATTTCTTAAATATTAAAATAAAATGACACTCATCTTCAATTAATCTATCGTTACACATTGTACAATATCTTTCTTTTCTGTTTTCATTATAAAAGCGACCTGTTTCAATCTGCAAACAATGTGCATGTATTCTATATTAACAAATTAATGGTTAAAATACGTTATTGACGGCTCTTCTTAAAACAAAACTGTAAACCATGTGTATCGTATATACATTTGTAAAACATACATTTAGATGATTCTTCAAAATAAAACGGTATTGTTTTATTTACAAAGTGATCAGTAAGTCGTTGTTTAAACTCAACGAAAAATTTATCTACATAATATGTGCCTTGGTTGAAACAAATATAATTGAAACCATGTGTATATAACATGTGTATAATAAGCAATGATTACTAAACAATACATCAGATTACGTAATTCATAAACATTGTTCTTCTTTCTGTATTAATCATCATTCCATACTGATCAACCGTTTTACAAAAAGAGGTAAAATAACCAAAACACCGAACTCCAACGGAAATTCAAAACGGAAATTCCTTTATAAAATTGCAAAATCAAAAGCTCAAACACATCAAACGAATGGAAAACAACTGTCATATTCCTGACTTGGTACAGGAATTTCCTTATGTAGAAAATGGTGGATTAAACCTCTCAAGAATACAAAATTGACTATAACATAATAACACAATGGCGGTTGATAAGTACCGAGCAACGCCAACGGTATATTACCAAAAAATGGTAAACAGTAAAGGTTAAAAATTTACAAGGACAAATAAAAAGACCATCATGTATTATTTGTTAAGTTGATACAGAATATTTATCAACAAGGTCTTGGTATCTTCCAATGAACCTTTTAAGACAAGACGTTCTTTGACATAACCTTGGCTCATCAACTTTCTGTTCAAACACTGGTGACGTTTTATAAAGTCTGAGTAGCAACAGTCAATATTTACATAATATTGATGACCTTGACACTACAGATGTGAAAGATTGTTCCTAATATTCAACAAATATTATGCAATGCATTCATACCAGAAATATTATATTGACAAGGATAACGTTATGAAAGCAACGAAGAGTTCCAAAGATAAGACGTAACAGTTTATTGTCAATGAAATGGCAATTAATCATGAACAGGACGTCAAGGTATCAAACGCCCCAAAAAAAAACAGTGTGTTTGTACTGACGAAAACATGTTATATAATCACGCATATTATGTATGCAGATATTCATAAATGCGGTGTTTTGAACCTTTTTTGGAAACAAATGATGTCAGGATAAACGTAGATGACACATCTACAAAACTACTACTGGTTTAAGGGGACAACCATTTTATATTATGTATGCAGATATTCATGAATGCGGTGATTTGAACCTTTTTTGGAAACAAATGATGTCAGGATAAACGTAGATGACACATCTACAAAAATACCACTGGTTTAAAGGGGACAAACATTTGATTTTCGGTTGGGGGAGGGATGTGCAAAAGGAATTTTGAAAATGAATAATTTGGCCTGATGAGAAGCTTTTCACAAGACAGGATGAAAATGAATAATCTGCAACACAAAATGCCAGAAAACAATTGTTGCACATTAAATTTCGCGCGAACATAAAAAGCATGCATAGCAACAGATGAACATAAATGATCAATCCGGGAAAATCCTGCGCCTAAACACTCCCCAAGCAAGAGTGTTTATATTGAGTAATCAAACTAAAAAATAATAAAAGTGACAAACCTGTCCTTTAATGAACGGTATTCTTGGTTTAGAAATACGTCGTAGCGTCCATTTATTAATTGCCGATTTCATCTGCAATTAAACCACTTATCTATTTACTCAATCGATTCAAAGCATAAAGTTAAACAATAATACATTGTATTAATGCAAGATTATTTTGTTTGGGCATAATTTCATTGTTTTTAACTATCAATTCACCTTTATCTGAAAGTTTACAACATTCAATATATTTTTGGGTAAATAATATTCTAAAGTAAACCAAATGGCTAAATTTGCTGTAGATTTCTTTTAGTTATATTTGTCTTTGGGTTGCTGGCTAATTGACATATACACTGTATCTTTTTTTCTTCATACCTACAGATTATATCAAGTCAAAATACAAAAATGTCAAACTTTTTATGAACACGAGTGAAAGATATCTGTAAAGTAACAATATAAGTAGTCAGATTAAGAAATAAAGTTGATAAGAATAGACTTTCTTAACTGAATATAGATAGGAAAAGCTGAAAAAAACTTTCTTACATTTCTGAATTTTGACAATAAGGATGATTCCTTCGTTAGCAGACGATTCGCCCATGCTGGTGTTTCACTTTCTAAATTTTCATCAAGAGGAGAGTTTCTCCTCATTTTCTGTCTTTGGGATGATTTTTCATGTCTTTCGAAAAATCCTTGATCAGTTGATTCACCAGGCGGGGTAATAAATGGACCACTTCTTGTCATATCTGACGCTTCAAATCCTACCGGAAATGACCTTGCTGTTTCCAGTATTGATCGAGGACTTTCTAGACCTTGCAGGCCGATATCGTCTTCCGAAATAGGTGGTGGGTAGTAATTTCCGTATTTATCCTTAAAGAGTTGATTTTCATAGACACGCTCATTGTTCATATTTCGTCCAGGTTTGTCCATCCCTAAGAGATGAAATCTCTGGTCCTTATTTGATATCTCCTTTTCATTCCTAGAAGAATTTCCAATCCGTTGAGCATATAATCCACTATTTCTACGCACGGGAAGATCTGGTGTACTCGTAAGGTTTTTAGTAAAACTTCCGATTCTGGTGGCATATTCGCCGCTTGTTTCACGAGAATCTAAATCAATTCGCCGATCAGAGCTCCGTTCTATTCTACTTGCGTAGTTACCACTTGCTACAAAATCTGACCGTTGTAAACCGCTCAGCGTTTGAGAATAATCCATACTAACTGCATCATCCAGTCTGTCATTATTATACGGTATGGAATTATCTTTCGGATAATTATAAAATCCCGAAGCTCCCAAATTTTGACCATTTTTTGCATACATTTTATAATCCGGAAGTTGGAATTGATTTAAGCCCTGACATGTAAAGGCATTAAAATGTTTTTAACCTCACAAAATAATATATGTGTATCTCTTGATCAAAACTATAAACCGTGTAAACATAGATATAATACAGTTTATTGTTTTATCCATTTAAGTACAAGCTTTATACAATATAAATTCTATTTTATTAACTTCGGTAATCTGATACATCTCAATATTCTGAATGTCTTCACTTTGACATTACACTGTTTGTTATGTATAATACTTTTAAAAAACATTCGATACTATTTTCCTTTGTATTATTATTTTTATACACTATTTGTGTAATTTGAATTGCTACTGTAATGAGAATTTAAATCTAATCAACAAATGTTATTGGTTTTCCTACCGAATACCTCTAGTTTTACCTACTTAAATCGATATATATTTTGAAAACTGATCACAGATCAATAATCCTATTATTATAAACATTTTCAAACTACCATTTAAAGCTTACAAAACCTAGGTCATTGCTGTCATTACCATTGTTTCACGTTTAAATAAGTATATATATAAGTATTTGAAAAAAATATTGTCCGTTATTTCAAATGGTTTGCAATCAAATTTATAAGTGTGAAGCCTTTAAATGATACATTTAGTTCTTATTAACCACGAAAATTATCTACTGAATCGTGAACTGTTGATGCATCAGACTTATTCAGGGTATGAACCTAATTAATACGATCAACACAGGGAAATATTTATGTAAATGTATACATTGATCCTGCCTACAAATATATAGAAATATAACGTTTTACTTATTTACTCTACTTCCTCCATATCTAAAGTAATTTTCAACCATTCCCTTTTTATCGTAAGAGGCACGCGGGTTGCTGCGATACCCTTTTTATACGTAAAGGCTATCTAAATTCCACTAAATACCCATCAAATTTTGCTTCATCTCGGCATCCAGTAAAGAACACGACTGAATTTTGCAATATAATGATATTTCTACAGAGTATTTAGGTATCATGTTTTCGAATGATTTTAATACACTTGACAGTCTAATTCTTTTTTATCAATACCTTATAATGTTATCAAAATCAATCTCATCTTCTTAGAAATCAAAGGGAAAAACAAATTTTGCAATAGTCATTGTAAATCATATTCGATAAATGATAACGCTAGATAATCTTACTTGAAATACAAAGTGATAAATAAACGTGTTGATATTTTACATAGTGATGATTACGTCTTTTCCGACAATTAGTTCTATCAACTTTTTGTAGAAATTCCTATAGGCACCAATTGTATTCTGCAAATCAGATTTGTTCTTATATATAGTCATGAATCAAAACTATTGTCTGTTTGTTTTGCTCACACATTTTTGTCAATATAATGGAATTATATGCGATTGTCATACAAGTGAGATTAAGCTAGCTATAAAAAACCAGATTTAATCCACCATTTTCTACATAAGGAAATGCCTGTACCTAGTCAGGATATCACAGTTGTTTTTCATTCGTTTGATGTGTTTGGGCTTTTGATTTTGCCATTTGATAAAGAACTTTCCGTTTTGAATTTTCCTTGGAGTTCGGTATTTTTGTTATTTTACTTTGGACCAAGTTTTACTAAAGATCTATCTAAATATCATCTAAATAAAAAAGAATTGATAACAACGAATGTGAACGCTATTTTTGCTTTGAATCATCAAAATCTTTTTGATAAACCGCATACATTTTTTCTATGATTTATACTAAAAATACTGTTATCACAAAACATACCGGATAACAGATAGGAAGGCCCATTCTTCACAAATAATCTTAATAATCAGACAGAAATTACTGCACTCATGGAAATCTTCAAATTACATCATATTGTTCACTAAAGTTCCTCGAATTATCTCAGAGAAGTTTAGCATCCGTGTACCAAATGAAGAAACGCATGCTATGCTCTGTGAAATTAAAACCATACTCCTAAATTACAAATTATGTGTAAATACTTAATCGGTATAGAATGGATAACATTTTGCTATACTTGAAATAAAACGACAGCAGTTTACCGATGTTCTATTGTAGTAAATCGTTTAGGATGAGACAAATCAAGGTAACAAACAAAAACGGAGCGAATCGCATAATATCCAAAAAGAGCAAGACCAGGTACGTCGACAGGGTTAGCGTCTCTAGTTATGCATGCATCCAGGAGATTTCATACTCAGTCAAAATCGGGAATGGGACACATTCGATAAAAATGTCAGATCAGAGGACTATACTGGAATCTAAAGTTATAGGACCGAACAAACATGTCGCTAGTGAGTTGCTACACCGACACATCTTATCGGTCAACTAATCCGTGAATGTGACCGATGTGTTAATCCTGAATAATATCCCTCCGTTTACAAATAAAGAGAGATAGAAGAGTTTTTCCTATTAAACATGTTAAAAAATAAGTATATTCCTCTAAACACACTTTTGCGTGAGTACTATAAGAGTTTCTTCCATTTGGAGACATTGTTTTATTTCTTTCGTTCAATTAAATTTGCAAATAATACATATAAAAAAAAGGAGATGAGGTTTGATTGCAATGAGACAACTATCCACCAAAATTCAAATAGTGAATGTAAGCAATTATAGGCAACCGTACTGCCTTCAACAATTAGAAAAACACATACCGTATAGTCGGCTATAAAATTATGAAACAATTCAATTGAGAAAACTAACGACCTAATTTAAAACAAAACAATAAACGAAAAATAAATATGACAGACATGAACCAACATGCTACATCTGCCAGTCTCTAGTTAGGAATCATGGCAGTTGTTGTCTTTAGTTATATCTAAACAATTTTTTTATTTAAGGAGATTTGCGATGGCAGTTGGTTAATGATAGTCTCATTAACATTTATTCAATGTCTACAAATAAGGTGATTCAGAGTTTCACATACGGTATAAACACCGGTTTTAATGAGGAAACCGTTTGCTGACCTCTAGATATCTTTAGGTTTTCATGTGGTCTAAAAAATTATTTATGTTGGAGACAATATTTTGACCTCTTTACTCCTAGATATCTTGGATTGCTCTCTCATTGAAGTATATCCTCACATTTCCTTTTTTTCGGTGGTCGATATCGTGTGAAGGAAAATTCATAAGCATGAAATATATGGTTTTGGTGCTGACAAGTCTGTGCTTTGCCCTAGTGTAATATTGAGACATGTAGCAAACACAAAATTGCTCGGATAATGATATTTCGGCAAACGTAAACTATTGAATATGCAGAATAAAGCTTGTTAGTTTCCAACATTTGTAATGTTTGCACTATAGATGTATATGTTTATGGTCAATGAAATGAAATAGTGTAAACTATTTTGTTCTACCTTTTTATTATTATTGAGTATCATTATATGGATAACACTTCCTTCAAAATTATCATTTGAAAAAGATACTGCTGAATCTAAATAAACCTAATTCAACTAATGGTCATACGTTTATAAGTGATGTCATTCAAATTTCTACAGACTATATTAAGAAAGTCCATTTTTTTCTTTAAAATACACATGCGTAATATGATTTTAATGTTCTGTATATGGTTCCAGTGCTTCCGAAACTTAGTCTTTGCACTTCATTTAACAGGTTTTATTTTGCCTTATTTGAATCTCAAATTTCGTTTTTTATAAATTTATAAATTTCGTACACAAAAATCGCCTTTTCTTTGTTCATTTAGAAGTCCTTATATAACTAAGACTGCCAAGTAATCGTCCCTTTATAAATTCGTATTTTATTATTGTCAATGAATCTGGTATATAATAGAAACTGGAATCTACAAATCTATCCATCAAATGAATGTTAACTGTATTAACAACAATTTTATCGTTTGGAAAGTTGCCGGTTTTAAAAACTAACAATAAATCAGTTTCCAACAAATTGGATCTACAAAAAATTAACAAATTTATTAAAATAAAATCATACATACACAAGTCTCATATAATGAAGGAATGATATATGTGTTGTCACTGGAAACTACGTGAAGCTACGACCTACATACACAACTGCTTAAAAAAAGCCAGTAATATGTTTTGGGCAAAATATTTCGGAAATTTTGGTATTCAACGCTGCTCAGCTTCGTTTGGCCCTTTCACTTTTTTAATTCTAGCGTCACTGATTAGTCTTTTGAAGACAAAACGCCCATCTGGCGTACACAATTATACGCCTGGTATCTGTGATGATCTTTTTTGTAGCAGAAAATTGCTGAGATTTGATGACAGGTAAACTGAAAGGTTTGATGGGCAATTCTTTTTCTTTTTACATGCTGATGTGGCTTCTTTATGCCTTTTGTTATATATGAATTAACAACTTATTGACAAAGGTTATTTTTTGGTTTATTTATCATATGTTGTTTTAATTAAGCTATTTAGTCGTCTGTACACATCATTACTTTATATAGGAGATATTGATTTTGAGTAGAATGTGTATAAAACGAAATGGATTTTGATTGTGTGTATAAAAAAGAAAAACGAAGAAAGACAGAAAACACAATGAGAATTAGATTTAGCAACAAAAACCTAACCAAAAGTTGATGTTCCACTTTAGGCACCAATCACTTAAAATTGATAATATTTGTCATTACACTTATGTTTAGTTATTCATATAACTATATTGTTATGGTGTTTGGTCGAAGTCATAAATGTCGTCAGTTATTGCAATTGATATTTTTGTTGTTGTTTTTTTTTTGTCTACATGATTAGTTGGTTTTGATGTGAAATCTGTCTCTGTTTGCATTTAATCCTGGTTTGTCTAGACTCAAGTCGATGTTGAGATTTCCATATAGGGTGTAATAGAACTATGTTATCGTAAATAAATGTTGTATGATGACCTTTATATAAATTGAGATGTGTTAACACTACTACAGGTACATCAAAACAAAAAATAGAAATACACATAAAATACAATTTATGAGGACCTAGCGCCCAGACCATATGACAAGCCGTAAGTATTCCCGATAGGTATAGTCCAGACCATATGGCATGCCCTAAGTATTCCCAATAGGTACAGTCGAGATAATATGTCAAGCCCTGGGTATTTCCAATAGGAACAGTCCGGACCATACGACAAGTAATTAGTATTCCTTATAGCTACAGTCCAGATCATATGGCAAGCACTAAGTATTCCAAATAGCTACGTCTAGGCCATATGGCAATCCCTACATATTCCAAAAAGATATAGTCTAGACCATATGATAAGTCCTGAGTATTCCCTAGACCAGACAAGTCGTGAATAAATTTTTCAGAGACGTCCGTATAAAAGGATGGAGATTTTGCGGTCAAAATCGCACTACTAGTATTTAAAATTATCATCGTTTTTTCTTTAAATTTACTATTTCAACTGTAAAATGTATATATACTTATTATTTGTATCGTAATTTGCACTAAGTTTTTATTTCCATTAAATTCATAGGAGCTTTGTAGTGTAGCAGATATATCTTAATATAACGAAATATTACAATTATTGACAAATTTATCATACATTTTGAGATAAATTTGTAAATATGTATTGTTTTGATGATGTTAACTTTAATACATCGCCTGCCATCATATATAGCTGTGGTGTGATAACAAGAGAACTGATGTGCTCGTGTTCACTGTTCGCACAAGTGGTTGGGCAATTTGTACATTTGTTGTGGATTAATACCAAAAAAAAGTAAAATATCAAAAATACCGCACTCCAAGGAAATTCAAAACGGAAAGTCATTTTTCAAATGGGAAAATCAAAAGTTCAAACACATCAAACGAATGGAAAACAACTGTCATATTCCTGACTTGGTAGAGGTATTTCCTTATGTAGAATATGGTGGATTAAACATGGTTTTATAGGTAGCTAAACTTCTTACTTATATGACAGTCGCATAGAATTCCATTATATTGACAACAATGTGTGAGCAAAACAAACAGACATAATAGGTAAAAATGTCAAAAATTGGGGAACATCAGTCAACATTGTGTTATATTCTAAATCATAATAAGAACAAATAACTATTTCAACAAAGAAAAAGAAAATGGCTGTTAATTTTCTCCTTGATAATATTTATGTACGTTTCGAAAGCAAAGTTTATCGACAGGTTGTAGGTATTCCTAGGGGCACTAATTGCGCCCCTTTAATAGCAGACTTGTTTTTGTACTGTTATGAATCACAGTTTATGACCAAACTCAGTAAAGACCCGTCTAAATTGCATTTAATTGATAAATTCAATAACACTTACCGTTATCTTGATGATATTTTTCGTTAAATAATCAAGAATTTTCTCAATATACTGCCGAAATTTACCCAAAGGAACTTACTTTTAACAACTGTCCTTACCTAGATTTAGATATTTCGGTTTTAGACGGGAAACTCCACACTAAAATTTGCGACAAAAGGGACGATTTTTCGTTCCCTATTGTTAATTTTCCCTTTTTGGATGGTGATGTTCCTTTGGCTCCTATCGATCGTTTGTTTATGTGTTACATATTTGTTTTTCATTCATTTTTTTATACATAAATTAGGCTGTTAGTTTTCTCGTTTGAATTATTTTACATTGTCATTTCGGGGCCTTTTATAGCTGACTGTGCAGTATGGGCTTTGCTCATTGTTGAAGGCCTTACGGTGACCTATAGTTGTTAATTTCTGTGTCATTTGGTATTTTGTGGAGAGTTGTTTCATTGACAATCATACAACATCTTCTTTTTATATATAGACACTCTATAGACAAAAGACATACGCAAAAATGAAAGACAAGAATACAAAAATGACCATAGCACAATAACACAATGCGCGGGATGTATAAATACCTAGCTACGATAATGATAATTGCGTGAACCAGCGAACTTAATTAAATGCATTTTTTTTAATTTTCGTACAGTGTAAACATTTTGGTGAAAGGAGATATAGATATCTCAAAAAAATCATCCCCTACAATGGAAATATTTGATTGTTATTGCACCGTAAGTTTTTCTGAATCAATGTCCTTCAACGTAAATATGTTTTTGTAAACTTCAAAATATAAATTCTTTAAAATGAACATATTTCACTTACATAAAACGTGTTTCATTACAGCCAAAGAAAGAGTCATCCGCTTTAAAAGCTAAATTCATCTGAAACATAATTGAATATTTGCCCTTAAAGTTAATCAGTCAGTATACAACGTATTTCCGAAAATTCTCCAAAAGACTAGGAGAAAACATAACAACATCAATAAACTATAAGTTAAAACATAAAAAAAAACAGATTCAAAGACAAAAAAAATTATACATGGATTTCAATAATCAAATAAAGAAAAACCAAAAGTTATTGATATAAATTGATATAGAGTCAACTTTCCTCAGAAGTAACGCGTTGAATTTTTTTAACGTAGCCAATACATTTTATTATACTTCATGTCAAAATGCCACATTTTGATTGGCTAATACGAGGGTGTTAATTTACTCTATTACCCTTCATGGAGACGCTTGATCAAGTGTGCGCTTTATTAAATACAACTCTATCCTACGGCAAATACTCTATTACCCTTCACGGAGACGCTTGATCAAGTGTGCGCTTTATTAAATACGGATGGTTGTTATGTACAAGACGTCATAGTTTATTACTTTGAATTTGAAATTTAATCGACAGTAATAACAGAACATTCAGTATGATAAATTAAATAACACAAACTGAGAGGGTGATAGAGCAGAGTGTTACCCCTCGAAAAGACATTGTCAACCTTGGCTTCGCCTCGGTTGACAATGTTTTCTCGGGGTAACAATCTGCTCTATCACCCTCTCAGCTATGTGTTATTTATATAATGTTGCCTTTACAGTGACTCGTCTGTTTGTTAACACAGGATGACTGTATTTATCTGTTTTGTATTGTCTACTAGTTTGCAACTGTGCTTCGAGAATTAAGTCTTTGCTATTGGAACAAATTAATGTACATAGAACTTCTTTTACTAAGAATGAAATATTACCAACAGTTTACCTCTGATGTTTTTGTCAAGTGTTAATTCTTTGAAGTTTATAGCTTGCTGTTCGGTGTGAGCCAAGGCTCCGTGTTGAAGGCCGTACTTTGACCTATAATTGTTTACTTTTTACACATTGTGACTTGGATAGAGAGTTGTCTCATTGGCACTCATACCGCATCTTCTTATTTCTATTTGTAAGTTTAAGTTTCTAAGCGCATTGATTTTGAACTTTTATTACCCGATTTGTTAAGTAACTTTTTCATATGAATATAGGAGATGAAAATAGTACTTTATTACTTTCGTGCGTCCGAAACGCTTTTCAGTATTTACTATCACCAGAAACGCTCAGATGTGAGTTATATGCCAATATATGTCAATAAAACAGCAACATCTTTATACATTCATATTAGTAAAATACCTCTTGACAAATACTGAGAGTCAAAGAATCTGTATCAAGACTTTGTGACACTGAGCTATTAAAACTCATCTGGATTTCAATCGATACTGCAAACAAAACAAAAACTAATTTGATTAATAATTTTCACAGTAACCTATTATGTCTGTTTGGGTATGATCACCCACTAGGAATAGATTACCTTAGGTATATTTTGCAAAAACTTTTTTAAATTTGGGTTCTCAATGCTCTTCAACTTCGTACTTTATTTGACCCTTTAATTATTTTTTTTTATTCGAGCGTCACTGATGAGTCTTCTGTAGACGAAACGCGCATCTGACGTACAAAATTTATCCTGTGATATCTCCGATGATTTTATTTACAACCACTGTGTCGATGCCACTGCTGTTGTAGTTTTTCTCCCCTAGGGTATCAACAATCCAGTAGTCAGCAATTCTGTGTTGACATGAATTATCATTGATATGGTCATAATTATAAATCATCTGTTTACCAAACTTTTATCTTTTTCTAAATGCTAATGACTTTCTACCCCAGGAATAGGTTACCTTCGGTATATTTGGCAAAAACTTTTTTGAAATTTTGGGTCCTCACTGTTCTTTTTAAATTTGTTTTGATCCTGGCGCCAATGATGAATCTTCTGTAGACGAAACGCGCGTCTGGCGTACAAAATTTATCCTGGTATCTCTGATGAGGTTATTGTCAATATAACTATAAACAACTGTCATACAAGTGGGATGTTTAGCTAGCTATAATCCAGGTTTAAACCAACATTTCTTCGGAATATGTCTCTGCAAAGTCAGGAATTTCCATTCGTTCCGTTTGTTAATAAAGTCTAACGTTTGCTTTTGTCAGGTTTTATGAACTTCCCCCTATTTTAAATACCTTTTTGATTGTCGTCAATGTTTTGCTAAATTGCATTGGAAACAATGTCAATTTTGATAGCACAAACTTAAACACAATTCAACACACATATATACTAGACAAAAAAGCAAGATCTCTTCGATTTCGCTATTACCACAAGCCGTGTCAACCTGTATAAACTGAAAGTGACAGATTTTTATATACTAGTAGATGCAGTTTTCATCTTTAGACATTCTATCACTTTTTCGGACATAATATTTGAATGAAGGGGTGCATCCAAAAGTTATCATTACTTAATTAAACGTCCAAAATTGTTCTTATCCCACTGTTTAAGGAATGTGAGAAGAATGATTTAAAAAGACATTTATCATACAATTAAAGTTCTGTGTGGATCAAAATTTTACGAAGAAGACATACCGGAAATGTACATTTTTCAACTGAATAGTCAATGGATGGTCAATCGATCCAATTTGCTTTTCTTTTGAAAGATTCAAGTTGATCAACAGTTAACAGATAGAACTTGTATATATCTTAAGAGATGCAAATTAAGACAATCTGATTATAAGTAAAGAATAGCGATTGAATTATGAACAATATTCACGAACGTTTTCGTTCAGTATTTATGAGCTGTATTTTCATGTCCCCGCCGCGGTGGAAGGGGAATTAAGTGTTACCCTTGTCCGTCTGTACGTCAGATTTGTTTGTTTTCGTTCTCTTACTTTAGTTTGCCTCAACCAAATATTATGAAACTTATACACAATGCTTTTTACCATAAAACACAGATCGAGTTCGAATTTGGGTGACGTTGGTTTTACAATTCTCTATTTGTGTTCCTTTATAACTTATATGCAAGCGAGGGGATTATCTGTGTCCAATGGACACATTCTCCATTTATTTTTAAATGGTGTATTTTGTATTGTTCAATAAAGTCTTTTCTTTAAAGGTTTTTAAAATAAATTTCATGAGAGAAGCTCGATGCCAATGATTAAAAAGGAAGATTTGTTTCCTTTACTAGTATATATATTAATGAATATTTTTTGTAAAATATGAATGTTATTTTATATAGATTTCCTACAGTTTTATCAAGTATCTTACCATAAGCTGACTTGTCTGTATCTGAAAGATTAGTAGAAATGCATAAATATGTAAAATAATTCAGTTATATCATCAGTAATATACTAGTTCTTCTATTCATATAGTAATGTCTTTTGATATTGTCCGTGACGTTAATTTAAAAAAAAAGTAAAATAACAAAAATACCAAACTCCAAGGAAAATTGAAAACGGAAAATCCTTTTTCAAATGGCAAAATCAAAAGCTCAAACACATCAAACGAAAGGAAAACAGCGGTCATATTCCTGACTTGTTACAGGCATTTCTTTATGTAGAAAATGGTTGATTAAACCTGGTTTTATAACTAGCTAAACCTCTCACTTGTATGAGAGTCGCATAGAATTCCATGATATTGACAACAATGTGTGAGCACAACAAACAAAACAATTTATTGTCAATGTTTGAATACATAACTTAACATAAATATTGCTACTCCTTGCAGTTATCTACACTTTTGGTCTTGTATATCTTTTCAGTTGATTTTTAAAGTTTACTCAATGTTAGCTTCAAACCACTGTTCCAGGTTAGCAGGAAGGGTTTAGCGTTCACAATCATGTTGAACCCAGTCATATCATTTACCTGTTTGAAGCAAGAATTGTTCTTCGTTCAATGTTATTTACTTCATTCAGGCCGTTAGTTGTCCCTTTGAATTTTTTCACAATATTATGTTTTTCAGGAGCCTTTGACAGCTTACTATACGTCATTGTTTTTGCTTATCATTGTGTTATTCTTGTTCTTTTGTCTATGATGGATAGATCTCATTGAAAACTATAACACATAAGCTTATTTTCATATTTCTTCGTCGTCTTTTTTACAACTTTCGCTAATTTATTAGAATGACATTTAACGGTGAGATAACCCAAGAAGAAAAACTCTTTAAAGAGGACTATAAGCAATCGGTATTTAGAGAGATGTTCCTTCGCGTAATAAACAGCTGCTACATAGCATTTTTGATCTATGTTCTATGCAAAATAGTACAGCTGGCTATATGCTTACGAAATTAAAAGATTTCTTTTCTTATTTTGTTTGTTGTTTCTTTTTTTTTTAATTTATTATCATGCAGTCATAGTAAATAGAAAAAGAGATGATATGGACTGAATTGTTATAATCAAGACTGATGATAGGCATATCCTTCTTGTATTTGAACAATATGTTGGTATGAAACGACAACATGCCAAAGACTATGCCAATTAACTTTTACTACTTACACGCATACTTACATATATAAATGACACTTATAACGGGGAAAACTGCTACAACTATCAGAAATAGTCCTAAAATACACATTACTACATTATTTGTCTTGTTCCTTTGGTGTATTCCTTGACCTTCTTTGTCAGCAAAATTTGACCTTGATATATTTATCTGGGTTCCATCAGGTATATACGTTGATGGTGTCTTAAACAATAAAATCAAAATGTTTGCAGATAAATACAAATATCATAAAGATTGTTTTCATCAATATATTCCTAACAGGTATAAAATATGTTAAGCCCTGCAATGCTGACCATCACATGAATAAAAGTATGTGTATAACACGGTGAAAATATTGCGTCTTCTATATCAAACATTGGAGAAAGACTTTATATTACCAAGCATCATAACGTTCATATATAAACTCCGTTATTTGCTTCTTAATATTTCAAAAGATTTATGGGGCTGTTTCGATGCCATCTGATAAAGGTAAACTTTAGAGAAAGGGTTTCGGAAGCACTAAATTTATCAAATGTTATTTTCATTTCCTATCATATAGTTAATACAGCTGCTGGTGGAGTGTTAATAAAGCTTCAGCTCAGTAGTCTTTCTTAAATTTTACGCTGATAAAATTAGAAATTATTATGAAACTAAGGTTCCAAATCCCTCACTCAATGTTGACCTTAATTTGATTTGGCTATTCTTTTTGTGTGATTTTTTATCATATAGATCCTGAAGTATTCAATCATTTAGACATCCCTGACTTTCAATTTTTAAGATTTTATCTATAGATATAACACACTCCTAAAAGTATAATGAAACTGATAGTATTATTTATACCTGGTGACGTGTTACATATGTCTGCGACGTCCTATTGCTTCGTATTCGTAAAGACCATTTCTGTATTGATTCTTTTATCTGGAAGAGACAGGAAATTAATTAATTTTATTAATTCAGAATGTATTTCACACGCTTTTCAAGTATAAAAAATGAATATTGATCATAAGTAGCAATGGGTGCATACTACAGCTTGTAGTTACCAAACTGTAATCATTTCGTCTTCTTTTAACAATTGGTTTTCTTGTTGCTCACTAATGAAATTAAAGAACAAAAGTAGATGTGGCTTATACGTCAACGATAAAGCAACTCAACTTAATAACACAAAAAGACATCTAGATATGGTTAAAAAGGAATGTAAGGTTTACTAATATGAAACAGCAATCCAACGACACGACCAACCGCAACCGAAAAGACACAATTGAGGTAAACTTAGCGTCTTCAACAATAAACTGTATAGTCGACAATAAACTGTATAGTCTTTACAATAAACTGTATAGTCAACAATAAACTGTATAGTATTTACAATATGTCTTTAAAGCTGTGAATTAATCAACAGAGACTATAAAAGTTCTGTAATCAACACAAAATTTGACAATTAACAAAAACATTAAAATAAGATATAAGACAACAACTAAAAATGTTCTTGACTTGCGACAGGCACAAGGATAAATGGGGAGGCGAGGAAAACATATGGTCAAATGCGTGGTACACATTAACCCGGCTCTCATTATTTTGCTAATTATTTTAAATAGTTATTACAATGCATAAATCCGTGAAATCGTTATATTTTATAGTTTCATAATGCATTTGACTAATATTATTCAAAGAAAAAACATAAATCACTATTGCAGGCGAAAATGTCCTACTTAAGATCCCCTGATTCATACATTATATTGAAATTGTTCACCTACTTGTTGGAATCGTTGACTAAATGAAGATTTTCTTGACAGTAAATCTTTTGCCCACTTTGGCATTTCGAAATCGGTTTCATCGTTTTCTGTGCTCCTATAGCACCGCTTGTTTTCTTGAATATCGTTCACAATTTGGCGAATGGAACCTCTGGATGGACTATATTCACAACTATGAGTTTCCTTCATATAAGAAATAGGAATCCTATCCTCATCGTATTTATCGTCATTTTCTTTCTGACTATATTTAAACGGATATTTGAGTTCATCCTTTGCTTCATATTGTATAAGTTGAGTTGGATGAGCCCCTATTGGACTGTAATTAAATCGTTCTCCTTGATCGTCAGAATGTATTGTCGTTCCATAGTTGTCTACTCCTGTTGCATGATTTATTCTCTTCTGTGTAAGTTTGAAATCAGGATTAAACTCAACCTTCGAAACAAAATGTCCAGGATTGTCAATACTTTCATCTCGTAGCAAAACATGTCCATGTGGTCTGTCATTTTGAAAGGAAAAGGCTGTATATGGTTTACCTGAAAAATCACGTCTAAGCTCTTCACGCGCTGTTATAAATGAAATGTCTTCTTTTTCTTTAACTTCTGGTTTGCTCATGTTATGTGCTTTATGATCTTTGTAGGTTATGTCGAACACTTTCTCCTTTGACGAATTCTTCCATTGTACATTTTTTGTAAACTTTCCTGAAGCTCTAAGCTGATACTTAGCGAAGCTAGGTATATAGCGTGGCTGGTGAATTCTATATACATTGCTTTGCGATTTCAGATAATTGTAATCCATATTCTATGAAAGCATGCCTCGCGGTTGGAAAGCTTTGTACACAGTTTTGTGATTTCGGATAATTATATTTTCTATCATGCGAAAGCATGCATCACGGAAATGTATAAAAGCAAATGTTCGAATTACAACTTTTACAAAACTCAATCATTAAGTTAACGAACATAAGAGAACTATAAGCTGGAAATAATTAAAAGGAAAATATCGTGTATTGTTTTTGATCATATAAATACAACTAATGACCCATAAAAGGCGTTAATAGTACTTCTTTTATTTAAATCTTGTAAATGGGTGCCTATAAATCGATTGTTTGCTTTATAGAATGTAGTAGTCAAATCAGAGTATACGATAGTATTTGTAAATACTGGAAGATAATAATATAATCATCAACATCAGTTCTGAGTATATGAAAATAACACGTACTTTACAAATTTTGTGTGTCCGATCAGCTTTTCTGAATAAAACTCAAAACTGTCTATTTGAGGGCCATTATGTAAAACAGGTGGAAAAATTAGGAGTTATATTACCTAAATGACCGAAAAAGAAATATCAAATTCATTCAATATCAACTTTGCCTGAGGGAGTTGCAACCTCAGCTTCTTAATAATTTCTTTATTTATCAAAATGTTGATGCCAATATGTATTCTATTAAGTGTATTTCATAATATGTATAAGTACTTACGTAACATTTTGATAATAAATTGAAACAAAAATCTAATGAAATAACGGGAAATCTCCAATATATCTCAGTTTTCTAACTAGTGCTTCAAAATTTCTAAGGAACTCGTCATCATATAAGTTAACAAAGCTTATGTTAACAGCATTATTAATGATCCTTGTGTAAAACTCCTTTGAGTCTATTAAGTCTTTGGAAAACTTGAATAGGTTACGTTTCTTTCGAAGGCCAGATTATCTTTATTGACAGTTGTGATTTGTCTTCTCTATATACAGCCTTACAATTTTATTAAACAGAAATTTTCCTGTTTACTTTAATTTTTTTCGATAAAGCTGCGGTTCTGTATTTCCTTTGTATTTGATAAATGAAATCCTAGCTATTAAAATAGGACTTTGAACATACACTAAAATAAGAAATGATGAAACTTATATGAAAAAATGTCTTTGTTGTTTTGAAATTCGATATTAATGACATATCTATGATAGCACCTTTTATGAAACAAGTAAGAACGTTTGTGTTAATTACAGTCAATGGAGCTACTTGGAAGCTGAAAAAAAAGGCAGTCACTGTCATTCAGAGTATTCGTTCGTTGTGTGATCAGGCACATCACACAGTTTCAGTAACAAGAGGCCATTCTGTCAACGGGAAAAATAGGTGTGACTTGTAGAGTTGTGTAACAAGAGCCTGTATAATCTACTAACCGTGTATTGAAATAAAGCTCACTCACTAACCCAATATTAAATATACAGGGTATTCACGTGTTCGCTTTTAACCAATGATATTTCTAGAAATGTATAGGAGGTAGAATAAGATAGTAAATACTCAGAGACTAAATAGGGTGTATAATGACTGATTTGAGGATCGACAGGTGGTATTTTTGATTGTCTACACTCAGAACAGAGGACATGTATTTTAGGACTAAAATAATTAACCAGATTCAAAAATATGAATCTGGTTGAATATCATATCAAACATTTTGAAAGTAACACATGTTTGTACCATGCTTTTATAGGCTGCACTTTGTAAATACAGCTGTTTAACAAACCACGCCTCTTTTGGGGAGATATATAATATTCATAGATATTTTGTTTTGTTTATGTACTGGTTCCCAGATATGATCTCTATGTTTCATCTCTTAGAGAGATAACTTGGGAATGTTACCAGTATAAATGGCGAAATTGAATTTTGAGGAAGACCCAAAGTGAAGGCAGGGGTAGTACAGAATTTTAGTATAAGTTTAAACTCTTAGACGTCAGTTGGGGCATATAAATGTTGAAAATATGCCGCATAGCCCTATGTTTTGACCTTTGAAAAAAAATAGTAGTGCATATGAACTTCCCATTCTAGGATATAATTTTTTACGAAACTTCATAGTAAAAGTGGCAGTTTTAGCCGGAAAAGGAGTTCCTATGGGAATTTGCATTGTCTATATTTACAGAAGTGCAACCTATATCTATTTATGTACCATGCTTTTATATCTATGTTTGTACCAACTGTCAATGACAACAAGGTGATGTTGTTTAACGTAAGTAGTATACCAAGAAAACTGCATAATGTAAAATTCTAATGCGTTCATACCTGTCATTTCTATTGAAAAAAAAGAACAAAAAGGAGCTCGTTTAAACATAATCTGAACTAAAACCTGCTTCTGAACATCAAAGTTCCCTGAACTATGTATTGATCCTGAGGTACAAAAGCGACCATATATATGGTTTTAAATCTGCTTCCAGGAAAACTTAACTACACATATTTCTGTTTTATGCTCTCACATCCGTCAAACAGCTTATTTCTAATGTGATCCTTTTACAAGTACCGGCTTAAAGTATGTATCTAAAGGTCAGGTCAAAAATCAAACATAAGCGTGAACGTGGTGTTACTTAAATACAGACAAGTTAGTTGATCATTAAAAAATATTACAATCATCTAGAGGGGACATTTCGTTCACCTCCTTCAACTGACAGTTGACACCTTTTTAAACATTTGCAGCTGAGGCAGCAGGTAATGAATTCAAATCATGTATTGCATTATAGTAAAATGTTGTTGATTTGATGCGTCTAACACGAGGCGTAAAATAGAGTTATAATGACTTGATCTTGTGTTAGTTATTTTTGTTTATAATTTTTGTTTCAATATGGTGAACATTCAGTCGAAGTTGTTTCACTCTAATTTCAAAATATAAAAATCAAAAGCAAGATGATTCCTTTTGCTTTCTTCTAGTTCTTGGGTCAAAGCCTTTCAAAATTGTGCCACATTGTACTTTGTTTTTCAAAGCTTGAGATATATGAGAAAACCAGGAGAAACAAGAAAAATGAAAAGAACATTATATGAGTTGTTCGTTGCTGAAACATCTAGTCTCATATGACAAATTATGATGGGGTATATCAAGAAAACGACTTCCAGGTCTAATAAATAGACAGGTGACATTTCTCAGTCGATGTAAGGCAAATTATTGAACGCATATACAATTTACGAGATAAACTCAATTAACAACACTCAACGCCTTTAATATTAACGGCTATACCATTCGATAATTAGACATAAGAAGATGTGGTATGAGTGCCAATGAGACAACTCTCCATCAAAGTAAAAATTTATAAAAGTAAACCATTATAGGTCAAAGTACGGTCTTCAACACGGAGCCTTGGCTCACACCGAACAGCAAGCTTTAAAGGGCCCCAAAAATTACAAGTGTAAAACCATTCAAACGGAAAAACCAACGGTCTAATCTATATAAAAAACGAGAAACGAGAAACACTTATGAACCACATCAACAAACGACAACTACTGAACATCAGATTCCTGATAAACCAATTACATGTTATATAGGGTACAAATTTCATCGTCCGATCTGGCGTCATATTACGTATCATATTCTTGATTATCAAGACATCTTTATAAAATGTTGCACTTTAAAATGCAGATAGCATACTTATGCTCTATTGCTTTTACTGCGATAGCACATGCTGAAAATTTTGATATATTCAATTGCCGTGTATCAATATCAGATATAAAAATAACATCCAAGATATAAGAGGAAGCTGTAATCATTTCCTACAGTGCAGGTGTGGTATTCCTTAACGAGAGGTCGGTGTTTGATACCGTTGTGATAACTTCATCGTAAAAGCAGTAGTCAAAGCACACGGAAGCATCTGTGGAAGCTAGGTAAGTAATTTTGTTTTATTCGTGGACAATGAAGTCATTACGTCACAATTAAGATCCAAATAATTTCCATTTTAGTATCAAACTTAAAATTATCTGGAGACGTGACACGATTTTTGTTTAATAAATCAATAAATATTTGTATTAAAACATATTTAACACAATATATCATATATGATAAAAAATTTAAACCAGATAAATAAATCCGAACGGTTCTTCATAAGGCATCGCCGGTATTTAACGTCCTCATACCGACCGGACGTGGCTGCGTATCTATACATCCCGTCCCATTTTCACCATGGTTTTACTGCCGAATGTGAGAGATCTAGGTCTGACCATATATCCATACCCCAGTCAACCCTTGGGGTTGGTTTCTATGTCTGACCATATTTCCATACCCCAGTCAATCCTTGGGATTGGGTTTTAGGTCTGACCATATTTCCATACCCCAGTCAACCCTTGGGGTTGGTTTTTATGTCTGACCATATTTCCATACCCCAGTCAACCCTTGGGGTTGGTTTCACTCAAAAAGTCATAAAAGCTCAAACCACCTACTACAAACCACATACTACACTTTTATCATAGATACGCTAGGCGCGAGAGTATCGTCATCTCCGTAAAATTGTATCGGAACCCCATTCCATAATCCTTGATCCGGCATTGTTCACTCAAAGATAAACTAATAGAATTTACTAGGTGCAAATTGTCAACTAAACTTACTGTCCATGTAATTATTACTCGAGACAAAGTTACTGGAAATACCAGTAAAAGAACTAAAAAGAATATATAGTCATCAGTTCCAAAATCGACGTATTAAACACAGATACCAATACGATTAAGACATATTTGTAGGCCTACATTAATTTACAGACTAATCTGACCTTCTAACATCAGAAGGAACACAATTTAACTCTGCTTTAACCTTATACATAAATGTTGCTGCTTCAAAAAAGGGTTTGATTTTCATCAAAACTCTTAATGCAACTCATTATAGCCATGTTCTTTATTATTTAAGAATATACTGCTCTCGTTGGTTTAGAATACACCTTATCGCTATTTGTCCGACATTACTGGACATAACTAATGTTCCGGTAAAATGTTTACGACACAAGAAGAAATGTCTGACGCCTCAAAGAAAAATTGATTGTTGTAGACGTCAATAGTCTTCAATTGTCGCAAATTATTGGTCAATTGTAGCAAATTAGCGATAAGGTCTATCTGAGGGTATATTAACTATCTTATTGTGCATACACCAACGATAGAATAGATACACATTTTGGTTCCTACTTTATCAATCAATTAATCTTTTTTACCAAGAACTTACATCAACATATTACATTCTAGAAAGCAACTACATTTTTTATCCTATTAAAATGCGAATTTCTTTCTAAGTAAAAAAATTCATATATCAAATAAATGAAAGCTTCAAAAGACTTTTTAGATAAATATGTATGGGATAAATGATTTCTATTATGAGGAAATATTCAGGGACTATGTAATACCCTTATAATCTCAATCGGAATGTAAGATATGAATATCATTACACATCGAGTACCTACGTAAGTACATGCATTTCCTAAAAAAAATGATGAAGGCATGCAATAAAATTAAACCGACCGTTGATTTTTTACTGTTTCTGAGCGTTTGCATACAAATGTTTCATTGTCTGATGTTCATATCCACTGATTGTTACAACGTTAAATGTGCATCTGCTGGAACATTTATCTTCTTTTTGTGATGCATGCCAAAACTACGTTTACCCAGTCCTGTCATTCCTGATGAAATAAGTTGATATATTTCTGTATTTCTGCAGTGAGATCTGTATTTTCGATAACACTATCATTGCTTAATTTTCCGTGGAAGTTAATGAATTATTTCATTTGATTGATGATAAACTTAGAAACAACTTAGACAACATTATACAATTCAAAGTAAATGCAGCTGTGCTATGTACTTACAAATAGCAAGCTGACCCATTTATTCATAACCATAAGATTCTGAGTTTTTTATTAACCTATTTTATTTTCACACATTAGATTTGTTTAGACATTCACGTTTTTGATCTTTAGCGTAAAACAATTTTACAATAACTTTTATGGTATGTATTTACGGCATACTGTAAAACATGGTATGGTACGATGGTATGGTATGTGTTATGGTATGGTGGTATGGTACGAATATCACCATACCATGGTATGCATGAATGGTACCATGGTATGGTATGATGGTATGGTACTAATTACTATACTTACATACAATACCATTGATAGCGAATCGTATAGAAAAGAATAGTTTATTAAATTTCTGACATATACAATTATGTCTACATAAAAAAATGTAATAACAAAAGTACAGAACTCCAAGGGAAATTCTAAAAAAGGGAGAATCCATAAAACCTGACAAAATCAAACACTCGACGATATCATCCAACAATATGATTATTAATTAATATCTAACATACATTTACAATTTAGATCGATTACTAAGATAAATATAAATATAAATATATTAGTCAACAAAAGTAACGATACACAAGTTTGAACTCCAATTTATCATAAAATATAATAGATAGGAAAAACTGTTAAACTATCCAATGAAAAACACTCATTTGCAAAGCAAATGCATATGATTAAAAGAATCTGACCTAATTGGAAAGTGAGAAAATACCGTGTTATTGAACACAGGGGTCAAATTTATTTTTTCGGAAAATGATGACAAAAGTCGGCACTTAATTTCGAAGATGAGAATTTAGTATTCAAATATCGGCAAAGGCATTCAAGATTTTAAGCAGACCATGTTTAAGTTTAAATTTTTAAGTTCTAATAACATTTTTTTTATTTTTGGGTGAAAATACGATTTTTGAAATAACAAAAATTGCAAAAAAAAAATTAGCGTATTTGCCTTTAATCAATAGTTTTGATAAGAAAATAACACTCTGTAAATATTAGACCAATTGGGCAATTATTTACCTTGGTACATTGTATCCAATTTCATTATATATGGAAAATACATTGCCTTGTATCGTTTCTTTTGTTGACTAGTATAGATAGCGACCACGTGCAATTGGATTTTTCTAGGTCTGGTTGATTTCAAAATGTAGGTTAAAAAGTATGTTTATCATCGTTTTTACCTGTATAAGAATGTTTTTTTGTGGATCAAATCAATCAACCAAATGGTTCATCCTGGTTTCACATTCAATGTTGACATTCTTTTCCTTTTAATAGCTGAATACATGCGTAACCCATCTCCGACTAAGAGGTTAAATTGAACCAAACTGCTGCTAGAAGCGAATAATTATTTCACTATTTCACTTTCGTTAATGATTGATAAACAAAAATCATGTGTTATATTTTTTTTATATATCTCGTAGCTAATACCCCTCTGAATTAGAAGGGGAACGTACAGAAGAAATGCTTTCTGTTATCACAGTCATCAAGTTTGTATTAAATAAAGCTATGCAAGATCATGATCTACCATGATCTAAGTTGGTGATGTCGAAATGCTGTTTACTTTACCACGAAGAAGATGTTTTTCAATTCAAGACGCGTAGAACAATTTGTGGGTTTTCAAAGGGAAAAGTAGAATTTCAGGAGCATAGTCAAAATCTGAATATTATAGATGAATATCGACGGAACCATCTGGGCTTACTTAAAATGTATTTAAAATCATTTGATACAATATCAGAATAATTACCTTTATATCAAAGACAGAACAAGATTTAGTCATGTTTGTTCACAGAATGTTTAAATGCATGAAGCATTGAAATATTTTCCTTTCATACGGTTGAAATCATATAAAGTCGTGACAAATTCATGCAGTTTCCAAACCTGTAAATACTAGTAAGTTAACTGTTTAAGAATTAAAAAATAAAACTTTATTTGTGACTTTCTAAAAAAAAACGCTTGGTGGTCGAATGATATAACTAAAGAGCACACCATGAATTTCAACCTGTGTTCAGTGTTTAAGGTCTGGTATATATACTTTTAAACAACTCCTGTTTTTCACCCTTGTCTGTCGGTTATTATCAAAAAGTATCATTACATTATTTTGTTGAACAAATATTTACAATGAACATATTATTTTGGAGGAAAATTGAATGAACACTTTGTTCAATTATTATCTTCAAAGTAGAAACAAATGCTTTTATGTTTATACTGGAATGTCATGATCAAAATGAATAATTTAATGAAATAACAAGAGTATAAAGTTTATTATCACAAACAGATATTTTTTTTTCTTCAAACGAGATATTATCATTTCCGTATAAACATTTTTGAGTGTCAAACCTAGAAATAAACCTGTATCATGAGAATGCCAACTTAACTGAAAAGACAGTACGTGTAATGTCTGTGGAATGGTGAATCATTGCTAGAAATATTTAAAGTTCATGAAGTTTAGCTATTGAATGCGTTCATCGTTCACCGAATAGGGAAAGTATATATAGTTCGTCAAACAAATGAAAATCTAAAAATAATTTTTTTATTGTTAACTCACGTATATATCTGATAAAAGATATGATTATATATATATATATACGAAAAAATTATGATACTATATTAATCTTTTTTTAATAATTTAAACCGATAAACTATTTGGTTTGGATTCAAATTGAGAGAGTGCGTGCATTTTCTATAAGATATACTAGTATTCATTTGTCATATCTAGCAAATTTTGGAACGCCATGACTGCCTTATGTTGGTGATCAACATTATATGGAGTGGTGACAACTTTATATGCAGTAGTGACAGTATTAGCATTATATGCAGTGGTAACATCATTATTTGCAGTGGTCACAACATTATATGCAGTGGTAATAACATTGTGTGCAATGATCACAACATTATATGCAGTGGTCGGAACATTATATGCAGTGGTAATAACATTATACGTGTTTTGTTGATGAAGGTGATGATCAGTGATATAGTGATGATGATGATTAATGATAGAGATGGTGGTGGTTCAAATTCAGTAAACTTCGTAAATTTTATCGGACATTGCCGAAT